TCATTTGAAAGAACTTGATTAGTGGAGTATGCACACCAAATATGAAGTCTCTATCTTTTATGGTTCAAAAGTTATGGTTAAAGTTACAAAAAAGCTATTATAAGCATATAGGTCAAAGTCAAGGTCACCCGGTCATTGACCTTGGTGTCATTTTAAAGAACTTCATTAGTATAGTATGCATACTAAATATGAAGTCTCTATCTTTCATGGTTCAAAAGTTATGGCGAAGGTAAAAGTTTGCAGACAGAAAAGCTATTTTTAGCATATAGATCACATTCAAGGCAACAAGGTCATTAATATTGGTGTCATTTGAAAGCACCTCATTAGTGAAGTATGCATACCAAATATGAAAATTCTACCTTTCATGGTTCAAAAGTTATGGCGAAGGTTAAAGTTTGGAGACAAACAAACAAACAAACAAACAGACAGGACCAAAAAAATTTACGCCTCGGATCTATTGATCCGGGCGCATAAAATTCACCGATTTGAAATAGTCTAGTCATTCTACTGAAAAATGAGAACTAATTGCAACAGTTCATATTTTAATGAAGATTTGTAGATAAGCTATTAGTAACTCACATATAAAAAGTTTAGAAAAATTCACTCAGGGGAAAGTTGGGAAATCGAAGGATTAAAATTAGGGATCAATATGAATTTAGAATTACCCATTTGCACACCGTACTTTTTCTATATGAGCTTTCTATGACAGACAGCCTGTAAACAATAGCCAATTAGCATTAAAAGTTGTTGTTTTAACCTGTAGTTTGTTATGCAGTCAAAACTAAATCAAAAAAATTATATATTTTGATTTTCAAAGAAGTGAAGTTTTGACTTCCACACCGACCAAATATCATCTACACATATATAATGGTTGCAATTACCATTCATGTAAACAAAATGTATGGAACGCTGTTTGTATTCACAATATATATGTATCTGAAATTCCTAACTGTGAATGTGTTTACTTTCATTTTATTTGTAAACACCTGATGGACATTTATACCCCAGTAGTTTTGGAATTTATACACAAGCAACAAAAAATGTATGGAACACAGTTTGTATACAAAATAAGTCAAAACAGCCTTTTCTAAAGAATTCTGCAAGGAAGCTTATCAGACAAGTACAATGTATATCAGAGTTGTAACATGCACCATCACAGAATATATTTTGCTTAAATATCTAGAAAATTTATAGAAATTTATCATTTTGAAATAAAGAGTACAGAATTTATGGAATCACATGAACAGGATTTGATTTGAAGGTCTCTAAGTTTAAAAAATCAAATATTTAATTCCATTCAGGTATCTCTGGAACTTAAATTTGAACTGTGTGATTCAAACAATTTTTTGCTCTACAGATTTACTGCTTATTGCCTTTGTAAAGAGTAGCGAACGTTATATAAAAAGCCAATTGATATTGACCTTTTGTTTTCTCTATAAAGACTGCACCATGCTCTATACATGTACAAAAGCTGCATTATGTTTATAGTAATGGAAATAATTCAAATGGAATCGTTTAGACAGAATTAAATGCTTAAATGCTCTTTTTTAAAATTCTTAATGTAACTTTTTAACAAAATATTTTAAACCCATTTTAAAAAAACTTAACTTCTCCTTGTAGATCAAATGGTCATTTTTGCAACAGTAAAATGTCTGATGCGGCACTTATCGAAGCTCCATTTTATAGGGACTGGTGATAACGGCGTTTCCATGAGCATGCTTTAGAATGTGAACAATCTGGAACACTTTCAAAGTCACTTCTTAATAAGAGCAACATTGAAAAAAGAAAAGTAGATGGACGTGAATCTTTCTACCATAATTGTATATTGTTTAACGTCCCTCTCGAGAATTTTTCATGCATATGGAGACGCCACCACTTGCCGGTGAAGAGCTGCACATTTTGTTTTATACTCAGCACTTAGGGCCATTAAGCAGTGAGGGATCTTTTTCGCGCCAGTGCCTACTGCGACACGGGACCTCGGTTTATACGGTGTTATCCGACCGGTCTCCACATCCCACAGTGGGATTCGAACCCGCGACGTAAGGATCAACTCCTTACTTCGCAACTCTAGAGCAGATGCTCTAACCACTGCACCATGCGGGTGAATTCCTGGATTAAAGCCAAAGTCTTATAATTTCTATTACTGTTAGGATAAAAATATTTGGGAAAATATAACAAACATTAATAATACTTTTACATATGAATTTGAACAAGTAAAAATTGACTACCAGTATCTACCAAGAGTTTAACATTTAATTCTTCCTTGAAACAAATACTTGGCTTGCTCTCTTTTACTTCATTCCATTTATGTATGTGCTTTAATTTGACCTTAGATTTTTTTATCAATAAGAATAAAATAATCTACTGTGTGCTTTCAATTACCCCCACCCTCTTCAAGTATAATTACATAGCAACAGTTTGAAATACATCAAGATTTAAGAAGGGTAACAATATAATAATTATTAGCTGCGCAGGACCTTTGCGCGCACATTTCACGATATTTTGTACTCAATGCAATTTAATTACTGTTGATTCGGCTACATCTTGGTCAACAATGATCATTTTCAAGGGATAACAATTTCAGATTTTATCCTAAAACGTGTCTTATCTTCATATTATTGAATGTAGTTGAGGGTTACACTGAAAAAAATCTTGAAATATTTTTTGGAATATCACCATCCATGAAGCAACGTTAAATGTTGCTATGTTCTTATCACACCGGAGGGCGTGGTTTCATTTTATGGAGGGATTAAAGAAATACATTGATCCACTTGATATGAGTAAGATAGCAATAGCATTTTCATTAAACTCATGACAAGAAATACCCTGTAGGGTACCCGGGTGTGCGGTGGGTTCAAGTTCTGATCAAGCAAGAACCATCATACTCATTATAGTGTACAAGCATTTTATGATACTGATGTAAATAGAGTATTTTTTTTTATTTCTGAGCATTTTATACAAGTTACCAAGCAATCATATTGCAGGGACTCAAAACTGGTGTCAAAAGTTTAAAGAAAATTTTCTGAAGGGTGGACAACACAACTACAATGTAATCTAGGAACAGCTTTGCTGTGCGAAAAAAAAATCAATAAAAACATATGAATCTATTTCGGGGAGGAATGGGGTTCTATGAGATCTTCCCACAATTTTCTTCATATACGGGGGAAACCTTTCAGTTACAGGAGGGATTCAGGTTTTTTTTTTTTTTTTATTAACATTTTCCGCTACTTTTTCATAAAAAAAACTCTTATTGGGGGATGTCCCCTGACCCCTCTAAATCTGCTCCTAATTATTTTCGGATATTACCTTTCATATGAATTAAAACATTTTTATTGTTTCTTAACTTTTGGTGATTGAGTATATTCGTGCTATACTTAGCATTGCTGAATACCGAAATTTTTCATGTAAAATTCATTTATAATGTATCCATGGTTACCACCTATTTAACATAAATCTTCTAAATAATTTCTTTGAAGCATTTATGGCAAAAGAGTGCATTTTGAGTGTGTGTGTAAACTAACGTAGTGACTGTATTTGCGTTTGTAAAGGTTCATTGTTCAAAAGTAGGTGATATTCTCAATTTATACTGTTTCCATGGCAACCAACACATATAGTAACCAAAATTTAATATTTTTCCAATTCAGTTTATTCAGTTAAGTTTATTTCCCTACTTACATGGTTTTTTTTAAACCAGTATAGAAGTTTCTACTTTACATTGTTCGTTTAACACTTAATCAGAGTGAACACAATATGTCCCAATAATGACCTCAATTTTTCAATTTTCCCATGTATAAATTTTTCTAAACTTTTTGTTATATATTCAGATCATACCATAGATTGATTAAAACTAAGTTTTGAAACTGTTGCAATTAGTTCACATTTTGATGGAAAATTTGATAATTTGACTAGACTAAAATTTAATACTGAGTAAGCTAACGTTTCTATAGACGAATTGCCTCTTTTTTATCTTTAAATTGGTTTTAATTGTTTAATTGATTTACAAAAAAGTCCTATATTTATAATCTTTTAATTTGAAGAAAAATCTTTCTAAATTGACGAAAAATCTTTTTAATTCGACTTCTAAAACATTCAATTATGGCACGCCACATTCACAAAAATGAGCAAAATATAGTTTAACAGTCGATAAACTAGGTTTATCGGTTGTGAACTATAGTTTATGGACTGTAAACTATAGTTAACAACGTTAATCTATATTTTAAATCTGTAAACCATAGTTAACGCGATAATCTATGTTTCACAACCGTAAACTGTACTTAACACCGAAAACAATCATTTGCGATTGCAAAACATAAATTATCCGATAAATACAGTTTCACGATTTGTAAACTATAGTTTACAAACTGTTAACTATAGTTAACGATCTGATAAATATAGTTTCAGGATTTGTGAAACTATGATTAACAACTCTTAACTATAGTATACGATTGTAAACTATAGTTTACAAACGAGAATCTATTTTTATCAACAAAATCTATTGTTAACGTTTTATTACAGACAGATAAACTAAGATTAGCGTTCGTAAACTATAGTTAACAACCGATAAATATAGTTTTACAGATGAAAACTATACTTAACGAATCGTTAATTATAGTTTACAGTTTGTAAACTACAGTTTACAGACGATGAACCTAGTTTATCAATTGTGAAACTAGGTTTAGCTCATTTGTGTGAATTTGGCTTGCCATATTCAACTATATTATGGAAATTAGAAAGAAAATTAAATTATCCGTTTCCGTCGAGTGCATAATTTCTTACTGTTTTCTGTTGACCCCCCCTCCCCCTGGCGGTTTTTTGCATTTACCTTGAAATAATGTCAGAAAGGAGTAATTATAACACTATTGAAAATATTGGTGATGGTCAAAATGTCGGACTACCGGGCCGTCGGACTATCGGACCTTCGGACTACTGGGCTGTCGGACTATCGGACCGTCGGACTACTGGACTGTCGGACTATAGGACCGTCGGAATACTAGGCTTGAATCATTTCGACAAGCAAGGATGATCCTCCCATTTCTCTTGGCTAAGTCTACTGCTGTCTGGAACCCTATTCCTGTGTTCGCCCCAGTTATGATGACTGTTTTACCAGTAAGAGATTTACTGCTGTGATATTTTGATTTGCCACTGGAGAGACCTGTTCTTGATAATGCTCCACCCATTAAATCTATATTGTTAGAAGAAATTTGATTTAACTTTATAATGAGAACAAATGATGTTAAAGAATATTATATTGTATTATTTTATCATGTTTGATACAATTACCCCAAGAGAGAAAGTATCTCGCTAAAAGGGAGTCATTCTCGCTTGCAGTAATAAAACTCCTAGATTCCCATACACAGGTTTTAAGGGACATTTTCGAATGACATATTTTTTTTTAGGAAAAAAAGGTAGAATATATATGCAAATTAATAAGATATGTTTTCACCTGTGCTAGATATCCTCTTGACGTTATATTATAGTATCTACTTGCTTTAACCTGCTATTAAAATTAAAGGAAATTCAGACTAATTTATTTTGATACATATAACATACAGATAATACAAATTGAATTTTCTCGATACTAAAAGCAGAAAAATAAACTGATGATCAAGAACAGTCTTTACTGTGTGAGGTGGAGACCGGTCCTTCGGATGAGAGTCCCGTGTCACAGTAGGTGCTGGAACGACAAAGAAAGAAAGATCGACCCATCCCTGGCTGAGTGCCGAGCATATGACAAAAGTTGCAGCTTTCTACTGACAAGTTGTGGCGTCTCCAAATGAGTGAAAAATTCTCGAAAGGGGCGTTAAACAACATAGTTACATACAAACAAAAATTGGGGTGACTTACCTACCTCATTTAGTCTGTTTACTTTCACTTTCTGAAATATCTGTATCTTGAACCCGAGCTTATTTTTAAAACCAAAGGATTATTTGTCACCAGCAGCTTATTGTCTTTGAATATTTTTTTTCCGGGAGGGGGGGGGGGGTTAAAGGCTGGTACCTCAAGAGGAAAATTAAAAATAGATGAACCCTTTTTACATCTTTACATAATACATAATTTCAAAGTCAAAACACATTTTCCATTTTAGATCGCACTGTAATTATTTCATTAAATAGATGTTTAGAAATGGTTTTCATTATAAAAAGAGAATAAGACTGTTACATGTATAGTCGGTCATAAAACATTGTGTTCATGGCCCAGCCTTGGAGTAGAAAAAAGGAAAAAAAGAACAGAAAAGAAAATGTAAAAAGGAAACATTAAAGTCCGAAACTCTTATTCATTAATAGCGGTGGTCAGGGATAGATTAATTATTTTCTTGTCAGTCGAGGACATATTATTAATGTTCAACGTTTCGAGGACAGATTATTCCTTTCAAAAATCTGCCCCCCCCCCCCCCCCCCCCCCCCCGAGAATGAAATGGTCGTCCCCTACGCTAAGGGAGTGCCTTTGGTTTAGAAAGAAGTGTCCTCATTACAAAGTCAATTGTTTTATACAAAATATTTATTATAAATACATCACAGAGATTCGTACAACACTGTTTACAAAATTAAACAAAATTGTAAGATTCAAGTTTTCAAGTTAAATTAGCTGGAGGAAATGTTTTTGCAAATCAACACAGTACTGCAAAGCATATAAAATACAAGTGAAGTATCCACTATTTCACAAACAAACGAGACTAAGTTTTCTATAATCAGTATTAAATTTAAAGCCAGTAACAAGAACTTCATGCACTTATATTATAATCAAATTTAAAAATATCTCATCTTTACTTGTACATCTTTCATAAAATATAACATAAACACTTTTTTTAAAACAATAATGTTTGAAATAAATATCATCATATTCTAGTCACAAGATATAAGTATATTAATGGCAGTTGATGGTTTATGACTGGACGTGTCCATACATGTGAAAAATATATATGTAATTGAATAATTTAGTTTTGAGTCAAAATTCATCAAACTATTTGCTATATTGCCATTTTTTTCATAAGCCGCTTTCGATCTTCATCTTTGACGCAACATGGACCGCGGCAGCAACAGCAACATAGGCCACAACCCGTCAGTATGAATATTATTGCTATGGCAATCAGTATAGGAGCCCATCTGAAATTGAGATATGAATGTATTATATACTAGTATTTCCTCATTAAAATATCAGTTGTCAATAAAAAAAATAATGAGCAAAGTTAGGCCTAAACCAAAAGTCTCTGATGAGACTGTAGTCTGTAGCATTCTTTTAATATCATTTTGAGTACCTTTGTGTTGAATCAGGTTTTACAAAATACGAAATTTTCGAATTCAGTTTTATTGAACAAGCAGATGTCTACAAAGTCGAAAAGCCCAGTTTAATTTAATGTGAGGAATGGTTGTGTCAAGTGAAGAAAGGTCCCGCGTTTTGATAATTTTTGGAAAAAAATGATTTTCAGTTTTCTTGAAAGTTCTTTTGAGATTTTGAGAACCCCAATCTGATTTACATTACTTCTAGAATACTAGTATAAATGTTGTACAGAGTACGTCTGAAGTTTCCCCTGTACAGTGACTAATATTTTTGACAGAAGTCAAAAAATGGGGACTTGTATGAGCATTTTCGAGTTATGTCCAAGACACGATGTAGTTTCGATATCGACACATTACTTTTTTATAGTTTACTATAATATTTCTTTATCCTTGTGTGTTTTATTACAATACTTCCTGTTTTAAGAAGTCTTCCTTACTGTCAATATCCACGATATCGTGCCGATATCGAATCATGATTGTTCAAAGAATTATGCTTTCCATCTATAATATTGTGTTTTTAACACGTGTTACTTGAAAACTATCTTTTATAAAACTTTCCTTGTAGTGTCGATATCGTCGATATCGAATCATGTTTGCTCAGCCCTTGGTAAATACCGTCCCTGTCACTTTGTATGTATATATATGTTGCATTTACTTTACTTTTACGAAGATTGTACCTGCCATCGATATCGTCGATATAGACAATATCGTATCGATATCGAATCATGATTGTTAAAACATATTACTTTACCAACCTTCACCCTAATACAAATCTTTTTATTTTTAACATATCCCATGAAAATAAGTTCTGTGTTTCTTCGTGCAACGTTTGTGCATATTTACTTTCTGATTAATAAGTTTACTCTTCTGTCGATATCGAATCATGATTGTTAAAAGAAAATATTTAACAGACTTTCACCCTTACCCAACATCTTACTCTAAACCTTATCCAAAACAATAACAAACCTTAACCTTCTTACTCCAAACCTTATCCAAAACAATAACAACCCCTAACCCTTTCCTTATCATAATTTATTTTCATATTAATGCCAATAATGAATGAATCTTGACATCACTTGTGACCTTGTAAAATTATGTTATACCTCACTATGAAAATAAATTGACCAAATAGGATCAATATCGATACGGTATCGTCATTGTATTGTCGATATCAACGACATCTACACGTCACAGAGTCTCATATATGGTACCAAGTATTTCCAATCAATAGTGCTGATCACGATAGATATTGATACGATATCGACATGATTTTATCAATATTGTCGATATCGACATCGAATTTGTTCTTGGACATGTATGGCATTTTCTGGACCCGCGGCAATGTATTCTTGTTCGAAAGGATTTTTTTCAAATGAAGTTTAAAGAATTCAGTATAGGTAGAGTTAGGGTAGAAAGTACATAGTTTTCTGGAACGTTAAAAGTTGAAACACAAAATATGTTTTTTTTTTTTTAAAGAATTTCATCTTTAGAAAGCAAACTGTAAGTATAAGTTGGCAGACGTATTATTGTTTTGTGCAACTAATATGAAAACTGTTTGATAATGTTGAACTGTTTAAACGTTTGTTTTGTTTGCAAACTTCAGGTGTTACGTGTACCATATATATACCATGAAAGATAGAGACTTCATATTTTGTAAAACATATTCATACTTATCAAATTCTTTCAAAGAATGAAACATAGGTCAATGACCCTGTGACCTTGACTGTGCATTCCAATATGTTAAAAATAACTTTTTTTTCGAATTTTGTTGCCATCTGGTTACATGGAACATATGTACACAGTTTCAATATGTAACAGTGCATTGCTTTTAAAGAATTTATCTTTCGAAAGCAAACTGTGAAATCTGAATATACTTATGCAACCCATTGGCAAACTGTAAAGCAGAGCTCTTCTTGAAAGTGTTTGTAACAATAAATATTTTGAGAGTTTGTTTATGATGATATGAACTAAGACGTACACATTTTCTGTACCTAATGGCTACAGAAATCAGGATTGTCTCCTGCTCTTTTGCTGAAGATGCATACTTCAGGTGTTACGTGTATAGCGGGCTATACGTGATAGACGACAGAGAACCACAAGTAAAAATATGATAAAACAATGTACATCCACATACTATAGAATTTGTAAATTATTAAATGTATACATGTAGAGAAACATATAAAATACATGTATGTCAATATGCATATAAAGATTTGATTGCTTATTCTTTATTATGTGTGTAGATTTTTTTAAAATTCACACTTCTGACAAATAAAATTTTTCATTTCACATGCTGAATACTATCATTTGAGGAAAAAAAAAGTTTCTCATCAGTGTTACATGCCAGATGGGGCATAACAACATGTAGATTGGATAATCATATGTACGCGCTGTGACGTATATGCAGGGCATTGTATATATCATGTTTTCATGTGTAGCCTAAATATATATACGTCCATATCATTGTGATGGAAATGCAGATTATAACATATCGCACAGTGAAATCTGAATACTTATAACCCATTGCCAAACTGTAAAACAGAGCTCCTTCAAGTGTTACAGTAACAATAAATATTTTTGCTAGTTTATATATAATGCTATGTAGGTAAGACGTACACATTTTCTGGTTCTCGAGATATCGTGTGAACCACTGTTTACAGAAATCATGACCTTTCCTTCTCCTTTTCTTTCAATAGGCGCCGTCGTTACAGCAGTATGGCTTGGTGTCAAAACAGCAGTACTTACTGCACCACACCGCCTCCTGGCTCTCCTCGTCTGTGTAGTAGGCCCGACAGCACTCCCCACCCTCCACCGACGACACTAAAAACAACCAACAGCGTGAAATCATTTGTTAAATCACACGTGAAGTAGGGCCCTCAATTAATTCAGTGTGTTTTCATTAAGTTTTAAACTTTTGAAGAAATTTATTTTTTATGTAAATTGCTTCTGCTATCGAATATATATATCAGAGAAGAAAGGGGGCGAATGGTTGATCAACAGCAAAAGTTACTTATTTGGAGACTGAAAATTTGAACCAATCCAAGCTTCGAAAGTTATTATGTGTTAAGGTATTAAGATTAAGTAATGGAGCAGACAACTTCTCGTTTGTTTACATTCTTGAAAGTGTTAACATGAAATACATCACAGATAAAACTGTTTAGACCTTTTTTATACAGTATTACATGGATTAGGAAATTGGCATACTTACCAAGAAATTGTGAGACAAAAACAAATCCCAACATAAAAAGTGAGAACGAACAATAACGAGACATTTTGACTGTACTATAACACTGAACGAGAGAGATCAGAGAAACATCCCGGGATCGCCTGGGGAATAAAGGTGCGGATCCTAGCTGCTACACGTAAACCTCTAAAGATTAATGAAAGAAAACAGAAACAAGTTCTGCGTCACTATTAATTATGTCTCCCTCTTTCTTCGAGATGTATTTTTGGCATGTGCTCTATCTACTCAAGCATGACATCATTCATAGCTTACTCTCGTCCCCGCCCACACAAATACAATATAGGCATGTGGGATTTTAAATTTACATCAAACAGCTTAAAGCTGCCAAACAGTTCATTTAATAAATAAGTAGTGCAGTTCAAAGGTTGAAGCAGGTAAGAATTATCAGAATTATAGATTTTCAAAACTCCACAAAGATATATATTTATAATATTTACATTCATATACCATGTATACTGCTTGTGAATATTCAAGAAAAAAATTATAATCTAAGTCAAAAATATTTTAGGGAGAGAGAAGATACGTATTTTTTTTTTAAAGGATTCTATCAATGAATTTATTAATATCATTTTCAATAATCCATAAGTGAAAAAAGAATTAGATAGATTACATGATCAGTACCCTGCTGACAAAGCAGGTAACAACATTGTTCTTCGTTTGTAAGGCTCATTATATAAATTGTAATTTAGAGGTACTTGGATTTAATTTTTCTACAAGTGGTAATCCAACTTATACTCATAGTTCCCTTTCTAAGGAAGAAATTCTTTAAAATCATATGTCAGCTTTGAATATTTTTAATATCCCGAAGAACCAAAATGATCTTGAACTACCATATATATATTGGATTCCGAAACTTCATAAGAACCCTTACAAACAAAGATACAGTGCGGGTTCCAGTAAATGTTCAATAAAGCCTCTTTCTTTACTCCTTACTAAGATATTGACAGTTGTGAAGGAAAAACTTCAAGAGTACTGTGCAACAATATATTCAAGAAGTGTTGTGAATCAGATGTGGATACTCAAAAATTCCAAAGAACTTATGGACAATTTGAAATCACAAGATTTTACCAAAGTCTTAACAGCTTAAAAAATTATGGCTTTTTAACTTTATACATAACATAAGGTCCAGGCTTTTTGATATCACTGACAGCTGCTTTTTTTCAATAAAAATGGAACGCGTAAATTTAATTACTTGTTGGACATTTGCAAAATTATTTTGTTAAAACAGATTCTGATTGCACACATAAGTACTCTGAATTTGACATAAATTTGCTTGAATTTCTGATTGACAATATCTATGTGGTTTTTGGATACCAGGTCTTCCAACAATCTATTGGAATTCCCATGGGTACCAATTGCGCTCCGTTATTAGCAGACCTATTTTTGTATTCATATGAAGCAGAATTTGTGCAAAATCTTATGCGTGAAAAGAAGAAAACACTTGATGTGGCCTTCAACTCAACATTTAGATATATCGACGACGTATTGTCAATTAACAATGATAATTTCCATTCTTATGTCGATACGATATAAGTATCCTGGTAAGCTTGAGATAAAAGATACCACAGAGTCTGACACATCTGTTTCATACTTCTCTACGATAAACGTGATGACTTTAACTTTTCTACCGTCAACTTCCCTTACGCAGCAATATACCTTCATAACCTGCATACGGAGTGTATATATCTCAGTTGATTCGATACGCAAGAGCATGATCTATGTATGAACAATTTCTAAAACGAGGTAAATTATTGACAAACAAGTTGATGAAACAAGAATACAAGTCACGTTTAAAAGTCATCATTTCGTAAGTTCGGAGTGGGAAGGGCCCTGGAGCAGATCAAATAACAGCAAAGATGTTAAAGGCAGACCTTGATAGGAGCAGTCAGGAACTGAAGTGCACATTTAACCAGATATGGAAGGAGGAAACGGTGCCCAAAGAATGGAAAGAATGGACCAGAGGACTGATCTGTAAAATTCCCAAGACAGGCACCTTCCGGGACTGCAGCAACTGGAGTGGTGTCACGTTGCTGCCCCTAGCCAGCAAAGCACTCAATAGGATCATCATCAACAGAATACAGACTGGAGTTGACAGCACTCTTAGGAAAGAGCAGGCAGGGTTCTAGAGAGGGGAGGGACTGTCAACCAGATCTTTATCCTTAAGAACATCCTGGAACAAGTCAATGAGTGGAATGCTATACTGTAAATCCATTTGTGGACTTTGAGAAAGCTTTCGACTCGGTGCACAGAGACAGCCTTTGGGTCATCAGAAGAAATATGGAATACGCAGAAAACTGATTACGATGGTCAAAGCCCTGTATGACAATTTTCAGTGTGCTGTGATTGATGACAATGAGACCACAGACCCTTTTCCTGTGATGACTTGTATCAAGCAAGGATGCTGCATGTTAGGCTCTTTGTTCCTCCTAGTGATAGACTGGTTGATGCAACAGACTGTCAGAGGAAACAGAACAGGAATTAGATGGAACTTCACCACTATGCTTGAAGACCTTGACTTTGCGGACGACATTGCTCTATATTGTCATCAGCAATGAACCATATTCGGTGTAAAACAACAAAACTGGAAGAAAACTCACTCCACAAAAGTTGGGTTGAAGCTGAATGCCAAGAAGTGCAAAATGATGAAGATAAATAGCAAGAGTGAAATCAACCTGACAGTCGGAAACAACGAAGCCGACGAGTTAGACAGCTTTTCATACCTCGGCACCAATGTCACCAAGCTTAAGGATAGAGGAGGAACTGCAGACATCAGGAAGAGGATAGTACTGGCCGGTGTATCATTCAGGAGACTAGCCAACATCTGGAACACTACAGACATCAGTAGAAAGTTAAAAGTCTCCCTCTTTAAGGTACACCTTTACTCAGATGACTAAAAATTCCACTGATAAGAACGAAAAACCACCTATTGCACATTGTACCACCTATGATTCTTGTGTTAAATTTCAATTTCAATTTCAGATAACTAGGTCAATTACCTACTTTTCATGCTGGTGGCCCCTGAGTACCCCAATTTTTTGACTTATTATATTATGTCGTTTTCACAAGATAATTTCTCGTGTTCACAAGATAATATCTCGTTTTCACAAGATAATATCTCGTTTTCACAAGATATTATGTCGTTTTCACAAGATAATTTCTCGTTTTCACAAGAAATTATCTCGTTTTCACAAGATAATATCTCGTTTTCACAAGATGATATCTCGTTTTCACAAGGTATTATCTCGTTTTCACAAGATAATGTCTCGTTTTCACAAGATAATTTCTCGTTTTCACAAGAAATTATCTCGTTTTCACAAGATAATATCTCGTTTTCACAAGATAATTTCTCGTTTTCACAAGATATTATCTCGTTTTCACAAGATAATATCTCGTTTTCACAAGATAATATCTCGTTTTCACAAGATATTATCTCGTTTTCACAAGGTAATTATGTCGTTTTCACAAGATAATTTTTTTCTTGTATTTAAAAAACAATATTTGCGTTGTCCTAAATATACCAAAGTAGAGACGTACTAAAAAGAGTATATTGTTTTATAATTGGATGTTTACTAGAAAAATCCATATAAGTAGTAAAAATACTTGATGATACAAAAAAAGACTAATTTTTCTATCGCCAGCTTTCTTTTTTGTGTAGCAATACATCATTATCACCTGCATGTGGAGTATATGTTTCCCAGCTAGGTTCAATAAAGTTCTACGTACAAACAGTGTCTTAAACTACGCAAGCTTTTAGTTTATGATGCAAGAATATCAAGTTTACTTTTCGCTAATGTTATCCAAGAACCTTGTGTTAGCAAATACATTCTATGATTTCTACATTTCTTTCCTTAGGTTAAATGGTGAATGACGTTTTTCAAAAAAATTGTTGAGCCATTATTTTCACACTGAGATGACTACGTAACAGATTTTTTTCCCGTATCTCTGACAATGGAAAAGAGCACACGGTGGGTGTGACTTGTGATGCTTACGCCTCTATGGCTGCTTATCCAAATCCTATAAATGTTGGCTCTCCTTCAAATTTTTATTTTTTCCATGCACTTCTTCAGGAGTTTGCCTTAAGTTCTGTACATTATTTTAATATTTTATCATACAACATTTACATTTTATAATGTCTTTGTCCGAGATAAAATTACAAATTGTAAATTTTAGAATAATCTCTACATCAATCTTATGGTTTATCGATAGGCGAGGTTAAAAAAAATCACATGCAGGGCGGGACAAATAGAGACAGAAAGGGGAGCTTGTAGCAAGTGGGTCTGCGGAATCAAAAGCATGTAAATAAAAGGAATATCTGTCAGATTTTTTGATTTCATGACGATGATCAATCGATTGGCTTGTTAATCTTGATAATTTTATGCAAATTATCACTTAAGCGACTCGATTGATCAAATCATGAAATAAAAAAAATTTTTAGACAGTTTTTCATTCATTAAAAGCACTTCCTGGATAAATGCCACTTGATAATGTTCTCACTTCACCAGAAGCATTCTCTTCGATCCAAGAAATTTTACGCAATGCCAGAAGCTTTCTCGGTGAAAATAAAATAATTTATTTGTAACAAATATAAATATGACCGTTTATTTGTTACTTACACAATATAACATGTATACAATAAAAATCTAGAATATAAATAGTTTTTCATAAGAACTACCATGTCTATAAATGCACCGTAATGCACCGTGTTGACATACAGTTATGACAACCAAATAAAAATTATTTGAGGTACGTCCTAATCACAGCTGATAATTTATCTATTCCCTCCTCTATTTTGTCCACTGTACAGATGCTCATGGAGAGGCGGATATAATTCCTAAATCCTCCAGTTGCTGATGCTCTGTCAACAAAACAAAGAATAAATTCACGTCCCAGTATTTCACATTAATGCACCATAATAGACGAGGTTTATATGATCCACTTTGCTGAGTAAAAGAAACTGTGATAAAATGTTACTTACATAGTACCAACTTGTACAAGAATATGATTTTCTTTGGCTTTTTCACAAAGATCTGCTGCATCCATGTTTTCTGGTAGTTTTATCCAAATGAAAAAACCACCCTGAAATTAGAAACAAGAAGCCTATGTACACTATATTGTTCACTGGCTCGGCACATCTCGATTTAGATAATAAATTATTAAAACTTTAACATATATACACTGTACTTGTCTTCTCTGAACTATATATTAGAAATTTTGACCAAAGAGGTCCCAACTAAGCGATAGATTCTTATTGAAAGAGACAAAAATGAACTTGGTTATATTTTTGGATACAACTTACAGTTGGTTCAACAAAGGACACCGGGAGTTGGTTTTCCTTTAAACGGCGACATGCTCTTTTGATTCTCTCCTAATTTATTTAAAAAGTTAAATATATTGTTTTTTACTATTGGCTACATATTTTGAGAAGATAATTAATTCACAAGATTTAAAACATTGAGATACACTTGATAAAAAGACAAACAAAAATAAAAATCCTCACGCCGTATAATTTTTGCAGTCTCTTTATGTTTGATTGTACAAGACCAAGCTCCAATGCCTTTGCAACTACACAAGACATGTAATGGTTATAACAGAACCCACTTGTTGTAGTGTAACTGTAAAAAGGACAAATTTTACAATTCAGAAGATTATACAAAAGTGATTCAACAATAAATATAGTGAGACTACAGAGGCAAACTCTTTAGAATTATATACCACCGGTTGTTCAGAGCAAAATCATTCATAGATGTGCGACTTTGAGAACTCACCAGTCTATCAACATTTTGACAATTCTAGGCGAGGTCTCTATCCACCCCACACGTAAACCTGGAGAAAAAATCTTGGAGAAAGTACAGTTTGACAAGGTGTGTCCTTGAAAGTCCGGATCATCCCTGAATATAGAACAAAAAGTTATAAATACTTTACTTGGATACGTTTATAAGGAAAGGAATCTCGATTCAAATAAAATGCTTTACTTTATATTAGAATTAAAATTGTTCAACACTAACCTAATCAGTAAATGACGTCGAGACTGAAAACTTGATTTTTCTGTAGCTAAAGTATTGATCTGCCACATTTTTCTTACTAAAGAAGGATTGTGATTAAAAAAGCATTGCACCGAGCTGCGACTATCATAAATGTTCACAAAAATCCTATAAATGTAAGATGCTTTGGTACACGTAAAATTCTAATATAACCTTGCATCACAAATTGTTGTATTGTCTAAAATTCTGTTACAAGGAGAAATTTGTCAAATGAATTGAAATCTCTAGCGGTTCTCTACATGATTCTGTTTGTGTTTTAGAGTTTAAATGGGACACCTGTTGATCATGTGAACTTAACCATTTACAATAATTAAGAGACTATGATAACAGGACCTACTTTTTGTCGTAAGAGAAGAGTCTGGGTGGAGGTACACCGTCGTTGGTGTATGTCAACAGATTATAGACGTCTTCACCGAACAACAACATGTCATACTGTCTGGCCAAAGAAACAAGACGCCGGCACTTTTCTACAATCAAAATACTTTTAAAATATTTAGATTATTTTTTTTTTGACAAAGATTCACGAATGTGAAAGAAAAGTGAGCACTGATATGTTCAAACAGATTCACATGTTTAGATGAACTTTTTTTCTAAGGTTGATCTCTGATTGAGTTTTCCAACCTGGTGAAAGACAGGATCCCGTAGGATTGTGATGGACTGTCATGGTGTACAACATCCGGCGGAAGGGACTTTTTGTTTTTGTGGGAGCGGGTGTTTCCTGTAACAGTTTCTCTAGAGCCGTAACGTCTATACCATCATCCTCTGTCGGAACTAAGGATAAAACATTGACTGGGATCAAAGGTATGACGATCTAGTTTTAATGGACTTAAAGAACGAAACTTCATGAGGCCGTTATGTTTTCTTTACTTTCTTAAGAATCACTCTGATTCTTTACAAAAGTACTTTGAAGTTCATTTTAAGGATACTGGAGTTCCTCATTGACAACATTAAAACGGTTTTTGGAAAGATCTTCCAAAACATTATTGGAAATCCTATGGGCACTAAGTATGTTCCGTTTTAGCTGACCTATTATTTTAAATTCTATAAAGCAGAATTTATTTAAAAACGTGTACATGAGAAGAAGATACTTGATGAGGCCCAAAACTCGAAATTTAGATATATCGACGATGTATTATCCATTAACAATACATGTAGCTACTTCCATTCACATGTTGATTCGATATATCCAAGAAGAAAACTTGAAATAAAAGACTCCAAAAAGTTAACATTAACACTTGATCATATACTAGTATATTTTAATCTTCCATATAGAAGTTGAATTTTAATACCAGGAATCACTTGATGTCCAAAGTCATCTTTAAACATCCCAAGAGCGAGGAAAAATGAAGGATCTTCGACAAAGATGGGCACATCTTTACCCAACAGTACAGTAGTTACCAGGTGTATCCCGTGAGTAGCTCCAACGGTGATGAAGAGATTATCACTTAAAAAGGTAAAAAAAAAAGGTGATTAGTTTGGTATTGTAAAGACTAATTTTACAGATTATTAGAATGGAGTATAGATTGATAAAAGCTAGGTACATGTATATTATAATTATGTAGAGATTTTGCATATCAAGCGAAAAGACAGGGATGGAGAACTGTATATTCACATGTACTTTACCAATCATGAAGTGCTTTGCAATTTTTTTTTAAATTGAATTTTACCTTTCAACTTTGTCCCTATACTGAGCTGTCAAAAATTTCGCCAGTTGACCTCTGACCTCTGGAGCTCCGGATGGAGGCCCGTAATCAAACAACGCATGCTCGTCCACCTCCCCTGTCTATAAACACGATTTAGGATATATTACTGTAACATTTTAAAATTAAAGCGTATTGGATTTGAATTTGTTCATATTCAGTGTGCATATTGGCTCTTATTGCTGCAAGAATGTTGAGATACACGGTGTATTTTGAGACCACCATATTTGCCTACAATTATGAGGGATATGTTACTTAAGAGGACATTATTATCATTAGGTATTAATTTACAGTATGCGTGTGACTTGATTGAAGGGCTATAGCAAGTAACATTCCTGCTTTGGTCTCCACTTATAATTACTTAGAATAGATATAATTTATATTCGGGTGAACACAGTGAAGCATCATATAGCCACTGAGGATATGGAACCTTAAGCAAAGATTTTAGGAATGGGAAGTTCTGTTGGTTATCCAATCGACTGTCAGGGAAAAAAACGCTCAGTGCTTTTTGTCTCACGAAAATGATTGCTTACCCAGGCGAATCCCTGAATTTAAAACCGTTATGTTTATTTCTGTTCTTACCAGAAGTTCCTGTGTGGCTCGTAGAAGAATGTCTTTACATCCGGCTACCGCCTCAGGACCAGGCCCCCCAAACACAAAGTCAATGTCGGTCATGTCCGCCGTTATCTCTCACTGATAACTCGACTAGCTCGTATCAGAGGGAACATTTACATACGACGTGTACCTGAATTAAAATTGAAATGTAAAGGTAGGTCACATAACCCGCAACCCAAGTTTATGCTGGTGTTTATCATTAATATACATGTATACAAAATATATAGAGAGACCTCTGCGTGATAGAAATTGACTTTGATTTACCGATTGAATGTATGTTCTTTTATAGGGGAGGCCTAGAACATCATGACAGTTTAAAGTGAGATGAAAGCTATGCGTCAGACCTAAGTATCATTGACTAGGCTAGACAAGAGTGGAGGAAGTTTGTTGCTGCCTTACACACCACAAGGTGTAAAGGATGATGATGATGATGATGATGATAGTCTTAAACGCATTCTACCCCAATAATCTTTTTTAAAATATATTTCTAGCATTACAATTCACTCAGTTGTTCAAATAAGAAGAACATACTCCATAAACAGGAAAGTTAGAAAAAAGTTTTTGTTCATACACTTTTTATGACCTCAATAAGGATGTCATCTCTAAGTCGAAGCTCTCAAAACAAGAACAAGTGATTATGTGAAAAAAACACGTATAATCAAACTCAAACGATGAATTAATTAAATATGACATATGAAAAGGGTGAAGAAAAAGAAAAGTGATCGATCTAGTAAAATATTCTGATACTTAATATAAATCTATGAAGAAGGCATAAACATGGACCCCTGGAAATTCCAGAGGTTGAATCAGGTGCCTAAGAGTAGTAGGCCTAATCATCCCCTGTCGGTCTATTAACCATATTCGCCGTAAACCCTCTGTATTGATCAGGTAGAGACGGAGCATTCTGTAGCCAATCTTAGTATAAATACAAAACCTGACAGCTTGTATGAAACAAGTCATCCAAACTAAGACCCAGTGGTAGTCATATTTGTTTACAAAGTCATTATATAGCGACCATGCTTACTTTAAACGAGGTTATTGAAATCACTGTATCATCAACTTATCTGTCAGTAGCCTGTCTCGTTTAACAAGAGGCCCATGGGCCACATCGCTCACCCGAGCATTGTGGCTAGGAAAAAGTAGACATTGGTTTACTATTGAAAAGTTTAAATCAAGAAGTTTGGCCCCGCCCTACCACCAGGGGTATTGATTTGAACAAACTTGAATCTACACTACCTGGGGATGCATCCATATAAATATGAGCAATTATGGCTTTGCTATTCTTGAGAAGAAGATTTTTAAAGAGTTCTCCTATATATTTCTATATAAAAATTTGGTCGGCCATTGTGGCCCCGACCTACCCCTGGGGGTCATGATTTGAACAAACTTGAATCTACACTACCTGGGGATGCTTCAATATAAATATGAGCAATTATGGCATTGCTGTTCTTGAGAAGAAGATTTTTAAAGGATTTCCCTATATATTTTTATATAAAACTGGTCGGCCATTGTGGCCTCGCCCTACCCCCCGGGGTAATGATTTGAACAAACTTGAATCTACACTACCTGGGGATGCTTCCATATAAATATGAGCAATTATGGCTTTGCTGTTCTTATGAAGAAGATTTTTAAAGAATTTTCCTATATATTTCTTTATAAAACTTTGGTCGGCCATTTTGGCCCTGCCCTACCCCCGGGGGTCATGATTTGAACAAACTTGAATCTACACTACCTGAGGATGTATCCCTATAAGTTTCATCTTTCCTGGCACAGTGGATCTTGAGAAGAAGATTTTTAAAATATACCACCAAATTTCCACTAATTCTCAATTATCTCCCCTTGAATGAGGGCGTGGCCCTTTATTTGAACAAACTTGAATCCCCTTCACCCAAGGATGCTTTGTGGCAAGTTTGGTTGAAATTGGCCCAGCGGTTCTTGAGAAGAAGTCGAAAATGTGAAAAGTTTACAGACAGACGGACGCCGGACAAAATGTGATCAGGAAAGCTCACTTGAGCCTTCGGCTCAGCTGAGCTAAAAACTGATCGTACTCAGCACCTGCTCTAGAGTATTGAAAAGTTGGGACATATAAACATCATGCGCAGTTGATAGCAGGGTTTTGCATATTAAATTAAGAACATTGGTGATGGAGAAGTTAATTCTCAATTAAAACATATCTCGTTTGTCATAATTATAGTTTGGTCACTAGATGGCCCCTATTGTCAAGTGTCAGTAAAACATCCAAATATGAAGCAAATATAAAGAAACTTGTTTTTAAGAATTCAAAAAATACCTTTTTAAATACGTTTTCAGTTTTCTTTTAGTATAATACACATAAATTCGTATATCTTTGAACAATTAACTTACTGAAACGTGTCTTTAATATATTATTGAAAAGTGTTATTTATTTAAAATTTTAAATAGATATGTAAGCTTTCTTTAATTGTTAATGATCAAAAAGCAGTGAGAAAACAGGAAAGCACAGAATCATAATGTTATTAAAATTAAATTTGTTTTAAGAGACGTGAAAGTAACCAGCAAGGAAAATCTAAGTTGAACATATAGTGAAAAGAATACAATAACACTAAAGTCAGATACAGGCAAAACAGTCCACATTCTTAATATTTTTAATTTAAAACACTTTATTGACAAACCATTACAAACGATACCATACAAAACTTTCATGTGACACACGACCGAATTATCTCAGACAATCTATCTATTCCATTTTCGATATTTTCTACTGAACACACGCTCACAGAGAGACGAATAAAATTCTTACATCCCCCAGTCGGAGACGCCCTGGAAAAAGTAAAATCAGATGATTAATTGTTCTGTTTATTTTGCAATTACATGTATTTTAATTCTGAAAAGTTATCATTACATTCCTAGAATGGAGTAACCTAAATAAAAAAGTAGATGGGACAAAACATGGTTTGATCAAAGAAAGCATGAAAAGCAAGACTTCAAAAAGTCACGTAGCGATCACTATCTCAGAATATTGTATACATTTACATTAAAAAGTAAAATATTGTAAAAATCTACTTCAGTAACTCACTTATAAACAGCCTGTACAACTACTTACTTGGATCCAACTTGTACAAGTAAGTTAACTGCTTTAGCTTTTGCACAGAGGTCCTCTGCATCAACATTCTCGGGTAGTTTTAACCATACAAAGAAACCGCCCTAAGATATATTAATCAAATATCCAGATAATCAAGATCCAAGTCATACATATGAAATATTTGCATTCTTTATAAAAAAAAAGCTATGGATATAATATATATATTATACTAAAAGACAATATTCCCTACGTATTCATTTGTGAAGATTCGATTACTTATATGCCCAATCTCTGTGACAGAATAGGTTATTATCAAAAGAAAGAGAAAAATAAACACTTGTACTTTTTCTTGTTCGATTCAGCTTATATTGTTCAATTTGGCTTTTAAATCAGCTTTTTTGTTGAATGGAACACGATTCTTTTTCACTATCAAACAAATGAACCAATAGATCTCTCGAAGGGTTTATAATAAAGCGATTCAGCCGCTAGGGAAAAAATATCCAAAGGAATTGATATTCATAAGGGGAATAAAATGGGATAAAGGAGAGGAGACACTGGGAAATCATTAAATACAAGAGAATCCTTTCAAGTAATTAAGTTTACATCTCTTCACGGATTTGTTTTGATGCCAGACACTGTCATAAATATTCTCACCAATGGTTCCACAAAGGACACTGGAAGTTGGTTTTCTCTCAGTCTGCGACACATTGTTCTGATTCTCTCCTGAAAATTACGCATTTTGAAAAACACTTAAAACAAAATGATCAGTAAAAATTATTTTTTTTCATAATATTTATATCATCCTTACGGAGGCACATTTCAGGGGCATATTTTCAACTTACAAATTAAAAATAAAGATCGAATGAATTCTCACCCCGTATAATTTTCGCAGTCTCGTAAGATTGGATTGTATGAGTCCAAGTTCCAATGCTTTCCCAACTACACAAGACATGTAATGGTTAAAACAGTAACCGCTTGTTGTGGTATAACTGTAAAAAATGCAATGTACAAAAGATGATAAAATTATATTTAAAAGATAAATTCATCAAACATCAGAATGAAAAGACAAACAAAATCTCTGCAAATACGTAGCTGTTAATTCAATTTCAAAAATCAGAAATGTTATCAAAGACACATTACCAGTTCGACAACATCTTGATAATCCTAGGCGCTGACTCTATCCATCCCACTCGTAAACCGGGAGAAAAGATCTTGGAAAACGTGCTATTTGACAGAGTGTGTCCTTTGTAGTCTTGGTCATCCCTAAGTACCAATCAATAAAACGATATTATTATTTTATTCTTTCTGCCAAAATCAGCCGTTTGAAAAAAGGCGAAGACAATGAACAATGGTTAATCTAAAAAGAAATCTAAAAACAATACAATTCTGTGAACAGAGCAGAAAACAGGGACCCCGGAAGATTTTAAAGGTGGGATCAGGTGCTACGAAGGAGTAAGAATCCCCTCTGTCAACCAGTCTCATCCACTGTGAGTCATAGGTATTGATCAGAGAGACAGAATAACAGTATAAACATGAGCCTTCATCTACATATGGTTATAAAATAATCGTCATTTCAATAGAGCCAGTCGTTGACCACTGTTGTAAAAAAGGGTTGAGAATATTGAAGAAATTAGAGCTTATATAAAAGTTCGCACAAAACTCGGTAATTCAGTAAAGCAGATTTTTACTGAATTGGGGGAAGTTTATGAGTCTGATAAGGTATCTTATGAGACAGTTGGTAGGTGGAGACAGAAATTTCTGACTGGCACAGAGTCCGTCAAAGATGCAGCAAAATCGGGTCGACCTGTGACTGTATCAGCCAAGACAAATGTCTCAAAAGTCAAGGAAATAATTGAAAGTGATGGCAGGTACACGATTCGTGATATTGCCAAAGCTGTTGGCATATCGCTATCGCGGGTGCATTTCATTTTGAAGCGTATTTTGAAAGTACGAAAGATTTCTGCCAGATGGATACCCCATATATTGACAGATGACCAAAAAAAGATACGAATACAAACCGCTAAGCGACTGCTAAAAATGTTTCCAAACTTCAATCAAAGACAATTTGCAAACATAGTTAATGGTGACGAAACATGGGTTTACTATTTCGAACCAGTAAGAAAAGTTGGAAACAAATTATGGCTAACCAAACACGGTAGAAGGCCTGTAGTTGCCAAAAGGACAATGAGCACAAAGAAGGTCCTTTATTGCATATTCTTCTCTTGTGATGGTTTAATCGTACAAATTCCGGTGCCGAAGGGCAAAAGTGTTACAGGTCGGTATTACCGAGATGTTGTACTGAAAAAGCTCAAGAAATATTATCAGAAACGACGTCTGGTGTCGGGATTTAGGCATGTTCGCCTTCTTCATGATAATGCTCCATCACATACATCTGAGCTTGTGAAGCATTTTTTGAAGTCTGAGAAGGTTACCGTCTTGCCACACCCACCATACTCTCCGGATCTAGCACCATGCGACTTTTTCCTTTTTCCAAAACTTAAAAAAATTCTTATCTGGTCGTCGATACAAGTCCCGACAGGCCCTTGGCTCAGCCGTCAGTCAGTGCCTCAGAGGTATACCTAAATCAGCGTACCGTGACGCATTTCAGAAATGGATTAAGAGATTAAAATTGTGTATTTCAAATCACGGAGAATACTTTGAAGGGATGTAATGTCCATTTGACTATTTGAATCGAATGCTTTTGAGATATCGTACAATACACAATACATATCGAACAACCCTCGTAAGATTTAAGAAAACCTAAGACTTACTTGTTGTCGTAAGAGAAGAGTCTGAGAGGAGGAACTCCATCATTAGTGTACGTCAGAAGGTTGTAGACATCCTCAGCAAACAACAACATGTCATACTGCCGGGCCAGAGAAATCAGACGCCAACACTTCTCTAAAATCAAAACAGAGAAAGATACGGAAAACTGTATAACTATCAGCAGTATCTGTCTTTTAGTTGGAGATACTAGTAGCATAGAGATGTGTTTTTGTTTTGCAAATCCTGAGTTTCAATTTAAGAAGGTCTGTTAGTAGAATATTAACTGAACCTGGTGAAAGACAAGAACCCTTGGGATTGTGATGGACTGTCATTGTGTACAACATCCGGCGGAAGGGACTCTTTGTCTGAGTGGGAGCAGGTGTCTCTTGTAACAGTTTCTCTAGAGCGGTAACGTCTATACCATCGTCCTCCGTCGGAACTAAAAGATCATTGGACAAAAACTTTTTTTTGCTATCAAGGTGCATATATTAAAAGCAGTCTTAGATTGATTTCTGTAGCAGAAGTATGACTACATAGACTCAGAATTAATTGTTCTGGGGTTCTTGTTTTAAAGATAGGTATATTTCGTTTCAAGCACACTTTTCAACTTTTGGACAAACAGAACTTGTCAAATAAATAGAGGTAGATACCAGGGATGATTCGATAACCAAAATCCTTCTTAAACATTCCAATAGCAAGGAAATATGTTGGATCTTCGACAAAAATTGGCACTTCTTCGCCTATAAGCACTGTAGACACCAGATGTATTCCATGGGATGCACCGACAGTAATAAAAAGGTTGTCGCTGTTAAAAGGTAAATAGTACATTTTGAACATTTGGTATCAAACAAACAATGGACATTTATTTAGGAAATTAGGGAAAGATGGCATTTTGACATTCACTTATGCATTATTAAGCTTTAGTTTTTAAATGGTTAAATTTAGCAATCAAAAAATGAATTGATAAATTATCTAGTATAGTTTTTTTCCAAATTGCAACTTCACTCAAAAACACAAAAAAATCTTTAATGATATTAAAATTTACCTTTCAACTTTGTCATTATACTGAATTGTCAAAAAGTCCGCCAACTGGCGCCTGACCTCCGGAGCCCCTGATGACGGACCGTAGTCAAACAGGGAATGCTCGTCCACGTCATCTGTCTTTAAATAAAATTTTAAAAAGTAAAACTTTAATTGATTCATGTATATATTTCTAAAAGAGGTATTTTGGAAGAACTTTGTTTTAATTCTATGTCTGTAAATCCAACATATAGTCAGATCTCCCCTACCTGTACTAGATTCCTATCTAACATACTACATGTATCTTCAATCTAACATACATCGCTGTATGGGTACAACCAATGCTTTACCAAACCCTTATTTTTGCTTCTACAAAAATAGAGAGGTTTAGCAAACCAACGTGTACGCGTACGTGTACGTGTAGCACCAGAAATCTGTGCATTACGTCATCACTTTTGCTAATGACGAATTTCTACACGTATCTTCTTACGCAAATTACGTGTACATTGCCAAGTACACGTAATTTAAAACTTGTAGCTTATAATTCTTTCACTGATGTTTATTTTTCAAAAAGTGTGCGTTTTTCTGAAACCTGAATATTTAATGCAAATACTGATATAAGAACTGAACGTCAGTAATTGAAAAATGTTAATTTATAGGGAGTTAAAATTACAACATCTAGATTTTCGAAAAAGACTTTGACCGATTAAAAATATAAGAACTCTGTACAATCTTTTTCTCATAAGTACATGCATATATTTATGTAGAACGGTGATATACGTATTAAAATTATTGCTTTTGCGGATGATTTTTAAATGTAAACCACTTTTACATTTAAAAACTTACAAGTACAAGTACAGGTTATACTTTGCTAAACAAGACAAAAATGTTAACGTGTACGTGTAATTCTAACTTGTAGTTTACACGTACATGTACACGTACAAGTGAGCTTGCTAAACCTCTCTAATATTAACTGCATGCTGTCAAAGAGAAAGTTCAGACGTTCTGTTCTCAGCATATCTACAAGTGATGTAAATTAGATGTGGATCCTCAAAAAGTCTTAAGAACTTTCGAATGAAGGGACTTTAAAATTATCAAAAATTTTCAAGTCTATAACACATTGGTCACTGTCTGACACGGCTGTTTCATTTTTGGATATGTTACTTGAAAAGGCGTTAATAGAGAGGTTTAGCAAATTAACTTGTACGTGTACATGTACGTGTAAGCTACAAGTTTGAATTACACGTACACGTTAACATTTTTTTTCTTGTTTAGCAAAGTATAACCTGTACTTGTAACTTGTAAGTTTTTAAATGTAAAAGTGGTTTACATTCAAAAACCATCCGCAAAAGTAATGATTTTAGTATGTATATTACCGTTTTGCATAAATATATGCTTGTACTTATAAGGAAAAAGATTGTACAGATTTCTGACATCTTTAATCGGTCAAAGCCTGTTTAAAAAATCTAGATGTTGCGACTTTCACTCCCTATAAATTAATTTTTTCAATTACTGACGTTCAGTTCTTTTATCAGTATCTGCATTAAATATTCAGGTTTTCGAAAAACGCACACTTTTTGAAAAATAAACAGCAGTTACAGAATTATAAGCTACAAGTTTTGACTTACGTGTACTTTGCAATCTACACGTAACCTGCGTAAGAGGATACATGTAGAAATTCGTCATTAGCAAAAGTGATGACGTAATGCACAGATTTCTAGTGCTACACGTACACGTACGCGTACACGTTGGTTTGCTAAACCTCTCTATTGTTAATCTAACAACCGAGCTCTATGATAGACGTGATGATTTTAACATTTCAATCGTCAACTTCCATTACTTATGCAGCAATCTACCTTCATCACCTACATACAGAGCTTATATCTCAGTTGATTCGATACGCAAGAGCATGCTCTACGTATGAACAATTTCTAAAACGAGATAAATTATTGACATACAAGTTGACGAAACAAGAATACAAGTCTCATTAAAAGTCATCATGTCGTAAGTTCTATGGTCAATGCGCAATGACTTTGTTAGCAAATATAATTTATCATTGAGTCAAATGCTGACTGACGTTTTTCATACCCATTATTAGGCTATTATTTTAACACTAAATTGACGACATATTTTTCCGTTTAATTTTTCGTGATCATGACAAGGAACACACGGCGGGTGTGACCGGTCGGCAATTGAATCTCAAACCTCCATGGCACCTGATCCTACCTCTGATGTTATGCATGTTTGTGTTTGCTCTGCTCCTATTTTGTATTGTTTTATAGAGTTTTGAGCTTGAATACTGTTCGTTTTCTCCACATATTTCATTTCTATTCTTTACATAATGAAAACAGGATCAACAGGCCCACATACTCCTCCTAGGCACCTGATCCCACTTCTGAATTGTCCAGGGACTCCGCTTTTTATGCCCTTTTCACAGTTGTATATGTTTTGGATACAGACTTTTTTAGATCCATCACTGTTCGTTATCTTTAGTTTTTACATCGAAGTAAAAAAAAAAGAGGCCCATGGGCCACATCGCTCACCTGAGTAACTTGGGTGATGCAGTTCTATACCAGATTTCCCCTCTTGCTGTACCTATCGTGCCCCTACCCCCTTCCCTTTCATGATTTTAATACTTTAGAATCTACACTACCCAAGGATGCTTTCACATAAATTTCAGCTTTCCTGGCCCAGTGGTTCTTGAGAAGAGGATTTTTAAAGATTTGTTCTATACTTTTCTTTGTAAAACTTGGAATTCCCTATTGTGGCCCCGCCCTACCCCCGGGGTTCATGATTTTAACAATTTAATATCTACACTACCCAAGGATGCTTCCACATAAGTTTCAGCTTTCCTGGCCCAGTGGTTCTTGAGAAGAAGATATTTAAACATTTGTTCTATATATTTCTATGGAAAACTTGGATTCCCTATTGTGGTCCCACCCTACCCCGGGGGGTCAAGATTTTAACAATTTAATATCTACACTACCCAAGGATGCTTCCACATAAGTTTCAGCTTTCCTGGCCCAGTGGTTCTTGAGAAGAAGATTTTTAAAGATTTGTTCTATATATTTCTATGGGAAACTCGGATTCCCTATTGTGGCTCCGCCCTACCCCCGGGGGTCATGATTTTAACAATTTAATATCTACACTACCCAAGGATGCTTCCACATAAGTTTCAGCTTTCCTGGCCCAGTGGGTCTTGAGAAGAGGATTTTTAAAGATTTGTTCTATATATTTCTATGTAAAACTTGGATTCCCTATTGTGGCCCCGACCTACCCCCAGGGGTCATGATTTTAACAATTTAATATCTACACTACCCAAGGATGCTTCCACATAAGTTTCAGCTTTCCTGACCCAGAGGTTCTTGAGAAGAATATTTTTAAAGATTTGTTCTATATATTTCTATGTAAAACTTGGATTCCCTATTGTGGCCCCGCCCTACTCCCGGGGGTCATGATTTTAACAATTTAATATCTACACTACCCAAGGATGCTTCCACATAAGTTTCAGCTTTCCTGGCCCAGTGGTTCTTGAGAAGAAGATTTTTTAATGACCCCACCCTATTTTTGTCTTTTATTGATTATCTCCCCTTGCAAGGGGACTTGGCCCTTCATTTTAATAATTTAAACTCCCTTCACCCAAGGATGCTTTGTACCAAGTTTGGTTAAAATTGGCCCATTGGTTCTTGAGAAGAAGTCGACAATGTGAAAAGTTTACAGACGGACAGACGGATGAACGACGGACAAAATGTGATCAGAAAAGCTCACTTGAGCCTTCGGGTCAGGTGAGCTAAAAACCAAAAAGGCAAAGATAAACAGTAACACTAAAGATATATAGAAGTATTTTAATATGATAGGCATGTATCAATCGTCAGGAAAAATGGCAGTAGGGAACTAACACTAAAACTTTTTTTTTTTTTTTTTAAAAAAAAGATGTATACTCAGATTCAGAAGAACGCATGCTTCAGGATCGATAATAATACTTTAAATGTTAAGAAGATAGTAACCTCATATGTTTGCACATGTATACAGACGAGGTTCACATACATCATTTTTGTTTTTAGCTCTACTGGTCAGAGACCAGAAGAGCGCATGCGATAGTAATGCGTCCGGCGTCCGTCCGTCTGTCTGTCTGTCTGTCTGTCCGTCTGTCTGTAAACAATTTTTCAAAACGCTACTCCTCCTACAATTTTTGTCTGATTTCAATATAACTTGGCACACAAGTAGACTACACTAAGATACATAAAATATTGCATCGGTTTTTGATTTCGATGAACGATGTTGCCATGGTTACTAAAAATAGAATTTTCTGTGAAATTCCTTTAAAACGCTACTCCTACTACAGTTTTAGTCTCATTTCAATATCACATGGCACACAAGTAGACTACACAAAGATACATAAAATAGTGCATCAGTTTTTGATTTCGATGAACGGTGTTGCCATGGTTACTAAAAATAGAATTTTCTGTGAAATTCCTTTAAAAAGCTACTCCTTCCACAGTTTTAGTCTCATTTCAATATCACTTGGCACACAAGTAGACTACACTAAGATGCATAAAATAGTGCATCGGTTTTTGATTTCGATGAGCGGTGTTGCAATGGTTACTAAAAATAGAATTTTCTGAGAAATTCCTTTAAAACGCTACTCCTTCTACAGTTTTGGTCTGATTTCATTATCACTTGGCACACAAGTAAACTACACTAATTTACATATAATAGTGCATCGGTTTTTGATTTCAATGAATGGTGTTGCCATGGTTACTAAAAGTAGAATTTTCTGTGGAATTCCTTTAAAATGCTACTCCTTCTACAGTTTTGGTCTGATTTCAATATAACTTATCACACAAGTAGACTACACTAAGATACATAATTCTGTGCATCGGTTTTTGATCAGTACAAACCAGTAGAGCTACAGTCTCGACAGAGACTTCTGGTTTGACATCAAAACTGCTGCATGTGCACTTCTTTATCTGAGTTAAAAATTTCTTTGAGCTCTCGTATCTTATTTTGTTGCTAATAGGCATGTTATGCATTTTTATTGGCAACGTACACTCTATTCTAATGTCATCAGTTGGGGTATCCTAGAAAAATCATTTAAATTGTACCCTTGTGCCTATCCGTAGATTTTTTTCTTGAAAAGAATCTAGTTCCCGTGTATTTCTGGTTTAATTTGTACTAACTGATTGGACATACCAAAAGTTCCTGTGTGGCCTGTAACATAATGTCCTTACACCCAGCTACGGCCTCAGGACCAGGACCCCCAAACAGGAAATCACACACCTCGGTCATGTTTGGCTCATTTATATCTCCCACTTGAAATCGACATGGACGAGGTGGAACAACTTTGGTGACATTCTGCATGTTCCCGGATTATTATTTTGATATCCGGAAAAACATAATATGGAGCGCCATTGGTAACCTTTGTGCTATAATATAAATTCACGACATATCACTTGCAACATGCGTGAACTCACGGTGAACTTTGCATGAAACAAAAATCACTAGTCTACACCTTGTTTACTGTTAAACGAAGAGTAGACCTAAATTTTATTGTAAATAACTGAACATTGTCTTAGGCGTTTGTAATTAAGATCGCTTACCATGTAACCTTTTAATCTTTTCTGAAACTTTTATATGTCATCTATATCCATGGTTAAATTGCATTCGTATACTATTAATTATTATCATAAAATATACAAGATGCTTTCAAAAGATGCACTGGTGCGATAAATCAAACAAAGGCAAAAGGTAAAGAAGTCTTGAAAATTGAAGTTATATACGTTGATAAAAATTTGTGCCGAGTTTAATTTATGACATTTGACCACCTCTTTGTTTCTCACTGTCAGCACCCTCTGCCTCAACAATCTTTTATGGATGAGATTCCATGAACTTGCCTATATTTTGCACTTCTGCGCTAGAGATTCCCTGAAATTGTCTATACTTTACATTTTAATGGATGAGACTCCCTGAACCTGCCTATATTTTACATTTTAATGGATGAGATGCCTTAAATTTGCCTATATTTTACACTTTTATGGATGAGATTCCATTGGACTTGTCTATATTTTACATTTTAATGGATGAAATTCCCTGAACTTGCCTATACTTTAAATTTTTATGGATGTGACTCCCTGAACTTGTCTATATCTTACACTTTAATGCATGAGAAATCCTGAACTTGTCTATATTTTACATTTAAATGGACGAGATTCCCTAAACTTGTCTATATTTTACATTTTAATGGATGAGATTCCCTGTAGTTGTCTAAACTTTACATTTTAATGGATGAGACTCCCTGAACCTGCCTATATTTTACACTTTAATGGATGAGATTCCCTGAACTTGCCTATATTTTACACTTTTATGGATGAGATTCCCTGAACTTGCCTATATTTTACACTTTAATGGATGAAATTCCCTGATCTTGCCTATACTTAAAATTCTTATGGATGAGACTCCCTGAACTTGCCTATATTTTACACTTTAATGGATGAGATTCCCAGAACTTGTCTATATTTTACACTTTTATGGATGAGATTCCCTGAACTTGCCTATATTTTACACTTTTATGGATGAGATTCCCTGGACTTGTCTATACTTTAAATTTTTATGGATGAGATTCTCTGAAATTGTCTATACTTTACATTTTAATGGATGAGATTCCCAGAACTTGTCTATATTTTACACATAAATGGATGAGATTCCCTGAACTTGCCTATATTTTACACTTTAATGCATGAGATTTCCTGAACTTGTCTATATTTTACATTTAAAAGGACGAGATTCCCTAAACTTGTCTATATTTTACATTTTAATGGATGAGATATTCCCTGTAGTTGTCTATACTTTACATTTTAATGGATGAGACTCCCTGAACCTGCCTATATTTTACACTTTAATGCATGAGATTTCCTGAACTTGTCTATATTTTACATTTAAATGGACGAGATTCCCTAAACTTGTCTATATTTTACATTTTAATGGATGAGATTCCCTGTAGTTAATTGTCTATACTTTACATTTTAATGGATGAGACTCCCTGAACCTGCCTATATTTTACACTTTTATGGATGAGATTCCCTGAACTTGCCCATATTTGACACTTTAATGGATGAGATTCCCTGATCTTGCCTATGTTTTACACATTAATGGACGAGATTCCCTGAACTTGCCTATAATTTACATTTTTATGGATGAGATTTCATGAACTTGCATATACTTTACACTTTTGTGGATGAGATTTCCTGAACTTGCCTATATTTATGTTCCCCAAACGAAGTTGGGGAACATATTGGTTTTACTCTGTTTCTTCTTCTTCTTATTATTATTAAGGTCTTCCGTTTCCAACGGAAGACCTTCTACTGATTCTGAAGATTAAGATTATTCTTATTATTCTTTTTTTTTTTGCTTCCTAGACGCCAACTTTGAGGCCTCGTATCTCACTCATTTTTTAATGGATTTTGTTCAAATTTTCAGACATTATAGACGGTAATAAACTCTATCAGAATGTTGTCGATAATTTCAAAAAGTCATTTCCGGTTTTGAGTTATTTCCCTTTAAACGAAAAATTATAGGCTTTCATTTCCAGACAAAGGCTCAGAGACCACTAGAGCTGGAGCAGAAATTTTACTGGTTTTAGATAACAGAAGGATTGAAGTTGTGCACATCCGTTTTTGTTTTTCGATTTCTCTATTCAAAATGACGCTATACAGGGGTCAAAAAATAGAACGCCTAAAACAGCGAAAATTAACATATGTTTTCCTTTTTATTTTGAAAACTAAAAATATTTTGTTAAGACATATTGAACAAAAGTTGTGCATAATTGCAAGAGCTTTCATATAATTCTATTCAAAAGGGGCTGGCCCCTATGATTAGGGATTTAGGGACCTTGAAAGTTTTTGCTTTATAACTCAAAAACGGTACATATTTCGATCTGGATTATACGAACAAAATTGTTCTTTGACACCTTTTTAATCTGATGAAAATGTTTTGTGTTCGATTATACTGGGGGTATTGCGTAATACGTAATTGAAAGCAGGCCAGGTAACGGGTAGCGTTTTTCATTCGGAAAGGAAATCAGACCTCTTCATGTGTATAATTTACACAAACTTCTTATCAGTAATAAATCCTATGGTATTTAATGTTAATTTTCTTCTAAATAGGGCTTTATACATGCTTTACGGTTCACTATTAAATTATTTAAAACGATTAGTCTTTCTTTTTTATTTATTATTAATTAGTTTTACAGTGAACACGTCTTCATAAAAGGAATATATTAAATCTATCTTTCTACATTGATTATTATAACAATTATAAGTTATTTTAACTTTATGCATTGAATAATTCACGATCATTAGTTGTATACATTTGGCGATCTCCAAGATTGCCTAGATGTTATGTAATCCAACGCGCAAATCCCACGCTGTCTATCTAGGTCACTAGTGTACCAGCCACCTGTCGTAAACAATGCAAGTGTCAATGATCGTGTTTAAAATCCATTGTGTACAAAGACCTATCAATTTAATATAGAAATCATGTTTTTAATTTATCGAATCAATAATAATACTTCACCGATCTCTCATTTAATCGTAATTCGAAACACTGGTGCATTAATCATTTTGAATTGTGATCGCTTTCTGTGGCCTGTTCACGCAAAATTATTTCTCTATTCCGTGTAAATGTATTTAAATTGTAATTGAAAAGGGGCTTCGGCAAATAATTATAATTAGTGATGGAAGTCTTGTGATACGTAATGTACTATTATCTACGTTTTATTTTTACCATCACTCTTTTGTTTCTCCATTATTTTTATTAATATAAATAAACATTGAACGTTAAAAAAATACTTTAAAATAATTACTATTATTCACGTATTTGTAATAAACAGTTTACATCCAGCTTTGTCACTTTGTGTCTAAAATTTTGTAGCCCAGTCCTCATTTACAAGCACGTGTCCGCAGATAGCAGCGGGTATGTCGATTTGAGAATCCGTTGTGTACTCCGATTTACAAATGGAAAATTGGGTTTGAAATCATGTCGACTCCTTTCATATCATTCAATTTCACTCTATTTCAGCTTGTTTTAATCAATCGTAATCGCTTGTGCATTTATTCATTTCAAGTTTTATGCCGGAAAAAAACACGAGGTATGTTTACACCGTTTTTTCCTGTATTTATCGAAGTGGTAATTGTTTTATGAATCTTAAACTACATGTACGCATGCATGATAATTGTAAGTGGAGTTAACGTTTCTAATTCACAGGAGGAAATCCAACATGAAATTAAGCACTTTTGAGTTTGCAGTTATTTGCTAATAAACTTAAAATGATATTGTACAGAATGGTATACTATTTCGTCCAATAAACAGAATATTTTACATGCCTTTACATGTACAATGTCCGTACGAATTTAATTGATGCAAAGCATCAAATTGGCTGCAAAGCAAAAAAATTCTTTCACATGCAAGGAGAGCACGTTAAGATATTCTAAGCTGAAATAGTTTTTCAATTCTTTTTCAGGCTGTTTTCAAAGCAAAATAAAAAATAATTTTACCGTATTTGCTCATAAATAGATTTATCGATGTTTAAAAAAACATGTTCATTGATGTACATGTATAAGAAGAATTTATTGTCATCAAAATGAAGGTGTAGGCCTGTCCGAGCCTCGATACCCTGGATCTTGATTAGGTGATAATGCTCATGGTTTCTGCAGAGCAGACTATGCTGCAAACCGCAGTGCAAAATTAAAAAAAAATATCTTCATGATCTTTGTGTCAGTTGTAGATGTAGAGTCAGTTCAAAACAATTTTCACTAGAAGTTGAAAAACTCCTCATTTTTTTCACCATGCACTTAAACCACATCATCATTATCCGGAAAATCAAGATTTTTTTTTTTCAAATCTTACACACTCTCAGGCTGTGGAGTATCTGATGTAAACTCTTTTTTATGATTATAAATTATCGATGATCATGAGATATTAATGGCAATGAAATTGAAATATATTTCAACATTTAATATAAAGTTTAATCAAGCTTTTAAAATATTATACGCATGATTTTTACTTGTTATAATTTACGAATTATTTTATTGAAGTAATAAAAAAAGTCTCATTTCCCCATGTGCACTCTCTAACACAATCACAAAAATATTGGCCGCTACCGCAGCCGATGATAATTACATGTTTTATATGTATGAACTTTTACATAGAAGAGCGACCACACATATACATCCAGAACTTTCAGAGTACGATTTTACAAAATTACAAAATTCGTTATTGCCTATTTATCATAAAATATAAATTAAATTCTTTCCTTCATTATTGATTTAACTAGGTACTTAAATTATCGATTCGCTCTGATATTTGGTTGTATAATGATTACAATTTATATAAACGTCCATCGGGTAAGTCATTGTTGCTTGACGACGTCTTGTTTTCTCCTCTCACACTGGTAGCGCGTATGAACAGCGGTATGAACACAAGCTTGTAAACAAAATAAACGGCAATTCACAAAAAAGGAAAACCAGAAGAAAAAAAAAACGGTCTGTATAGATGAAAAACACATCTCATTAATTTGTTTTTGAACGACCCCATACGTTTCTTTCTTTCTCCCATGCATTTCGACTATACAGAAAAAAGGTCACTATAGAACCTTTGGTTATATTAAAAGAAAGGTGTTGGACCTTCAAACGGCACTATATCCGAACAGCTATTATACAGCCTATCAAATATATCACGGCGTCAATAAAAGAATTATTTAGATATTTCAAAAAATACTAATTTCATTCTAAGAAAAGCCACGCAGCTGTATACAGACATTCCAAAATAATGTTTCATGGACCGACAGGTTGTTAAATTCCTCTCATCACTATAATTACCCCATCCCTTAAAAGGAATACAATGTCTTCCTTCTAAGCAGAGAATGTCAGTCGGTTGATTTGTTTTTGTACATGCATGTATACATGTAGTTTAAGGGTTGAATTCCGAGACTGAAAGTTACGACCTATTTTTATGTAAACCAATAATCATACATGACATGTTATGCCCTGCCATGAATATGGTCAAGGCATTTGCTGTTTGTCGGACGTCTTCCATCCTTCCTACTTTCTGTCCTTCCATCTCTCCTTCTGTCACACTTTGCCTATAGCCCAGTTCAAAGCTCAGTTTCAAACAAACTTATCCAAGATATTTTTATCAATCTTTATATACTGAAAGAAATTAATTAGAGTTTTGCAATTGCATTAACATTTTTTTAAACTTGACTTTATATACATGTACATGTATATACCTCACTTTTTTAAAATTAGTTTTTAGCTCAATTTTAAACATACCATTTAAAATGGTGTTATCAAACTTCACATGTTGATGCATATTGATGAGAGCTATTTAATAGCATCACCATTTTTGAACTTGGCCTTTCTTTCGACCTTGACCTAACTCTTTTTATCTTAATTTTAACTCTAACTAGAGTTAGTTATTGCTTCGCACAAGGTCATTTGAAAAGATCAAGGTCACACATACAAGTATTCCTTTACAGTCTTTTTCCTAGCGAAACATTGTAAGTTGCTTCTCTTACAAAGTTTTTTACTTGTATATCTCTAGTATTTGGCTTTTGACCTCGACTCAAGGTTACGTCTTCTAGTTCGTAACTCCAACGGAAGACCTATTCGTTGCTTTGCAACGAGCTCGGCTCTAGTTTTTCTTCTTCTTCTTCCTGGGTACTTTTTTGTCCGGGAATGATCTTGTAAACTGTTCGTCCGAGGTAGGTAAAACCTTTTTAGGTAAGTAGACATGTTATGCAGATTTGCGGAATCAAGGTCATTTTGCGCGCACGTGCTTGCAAGAGCGCGCACGTGCAACACTTGAAATAACCAATATAATAGATATGATAGTCGGAACTTTTCTATTTTTTCATTAAATGCTTTGAAACTCATAATGTAAGGATACATTAGTAGTATAGACAAGATGGCATGGTCAAAATAGCAAGATCTCACGCGCATGCACGTGCGCTTCGCTCTGATTGGCTGAAACTAAAGTCTCAATATCTTTCTTGTTTCTTGTCATAATCTTTTGAAATTTTGAACATGGTCCTACATTATGAAGATCTACAGCATGATATATTAAAATTTTAATAAAAGCATGCGCATGCGCGCGTGCTGTAATCTGATTGGCTAAAACTTTAAATGGCTATATCTCCTTTGTTTTTTGACGAAATGCTTTGAAATTTAAAACATAGTCATGCATTACGATATCCTAAAATATGATGTAGAAAATATTCATGAAATCACGCGCTTGCACGTGTGCTGCAATCTGATTGGCTGAAACTTCAAATGGCTATAACTCTCTTGTTTTTCAACCAAACAGGATGGGATTTAGAACTTGGATAAATATAAGGGACTCCTACAAGAAGGTGTAGTCATTATGCACGTGCTTGCACGTGAAATGAGTAAAATAAAAAATACACTCGAATGAGTGCATTTTTTAATACTTTTGGATTAAATGCTTTGATATTATTAAAATTTTAGATAGTGTAGACAAGATAATATGGTCGTTACGCACATGAACACGCGTGCAATGCCTATTTTTAAAATATATTTTGTATTTTTCTTGGAAGACCTTGATTAAGTCTAAATTCCATAAAGTATTTCTTATTTAATAGAGATAACAGGGAATATGGCAACAAAAGGGAGTTGGGGAGCGTTTGGGGAACATCTGTAACGGTCCCCGTTACAATTAGCACTAGTTTACATTTTTATTGATTGTATTCCCTGATCTTGCCTATATTTTACACTTTTATGGATGAGATTCCCTGAACTTACCTATATTTTACACTTTTATGGATGGGATTCCCTGATTTTGCCTATATTTTACACTTTTTAATGGATGAGATTTCCTGAACTTGCCTATATTTTACATTTTTATGGATGAGATTCCCTGAACTTGCCTATATTTTACACTTTTATGGATAAGATTCCATGAACTTACCTATATTTTGCACTTTTATAGATGGGATTCCCTGATTTTGCCTATATTTTACACTTTTTAATGGATGAGATTCCCTGATTTTGCCTATTTTTTACACTTTAATGGATGAGATTCCCTGAACTTGGCTACATATTAAACTTTTATTGATGACAACCCTGAACTTGCTTATATTTTACACTTTTATGGATGAGATTTCCTGAACTTGCCTATATTTTACATTTTTATTGATTGTATTCCCTGATCTTGCCTATATTTTACATTTTTATGGATGAGATTTCCTGAACTTGCCTATATTTTACATTTTTATTGATTGTATTCCCTGATTTTGCCTATATTTTACACTTTTATGGATGAGATTCCCTGAACTTGTCTATATTTTATATTTTTATTGAGCATTCCTTGATCTTGTCTATACTGTAAATCACTTTTAATCTCGAGAACTTTATTTTCGCGTAATTACGCGAGACGGTATGCTCGCGAAAATTTCATACTCGTGTATAAAAGAATTCTTAAAGATAATATAGAGAATTAATGACCACAATTCGTGAAAATTTTGTCTCGCTAATAGTCATTGACTATCTCGCAAAAATAAGGTGTCGCGAAAATTAAGTGATCTACAGTATTTTACAATTTTATGGATGAGATTCCCTGAACTTGGCTACATATTGACACTTTTATTGATGAGATTCCCTGAATTTGGTTATATATTTACACTTTTATTGATAGCATACCCTGAACTTGTCTATATATTACACTTTTAATGATGGGATTCCCTGACCTTGCCTATATTTTACACTTTTATGGATGAGATTCCCCGAACTTGCCTATATTTTATGGATGATATACTATGAACTTGCCTATATTTTACACTTTTATTGATGAGATTCCCCGAACTTGCCTATATTTTACCCTTTTATTGATGAGATTCCCTGAACTTATTGTTTTCTCGACTTATTTTTCCCTTGACGTTGTGTACTCATCCATAGTAAACGTGATCCGAATGCCTCCAAAACTGAGTATCTGACTGGATTGTATTTGGTATATAAGAGAGTTTCAAAGCAGTGTCGCATTATATGCATGGTAGGGATTCATAGGCATGAGTTTGGTCTATCTATTTTATATATAATTCATCAAGGATCTTGATACCCAATTGGTCTTCATGATGATCAAAGTTTTGAACCGTAACTTCTTCTCAAGTAGACTTAATATTTGGACCTTTTACAAGGATGACCTTTATACGAGTTCTCATTATCTACCATTATGTTTTATTGAATATTTTTCCTTACCGGTAAATGCATCAACATTGCAAAAAAAAAAAAAAATACTGTTGTCCATATGTCACAGTAAGCTGGAATTCATGGTTTCCCAAAATTGTCAAGATCTTAACATAATGCATTAAAGACTTATGTCTAAGTATGTACGTGTATGTATTGCATTAATTTCCACGTTAGTATAAAAAAAGGTTCCCCGTCTTTTGGGATCTTTGATTTGTTCTTGCAATCTCACACAATCTATTGATGTGCCACCTTTTTTTATAATATTAAAAAAGACTTGGACCTATAATTTTTTTTCATTAGGCAATATTTGAAACAAAATAATGCTGTGGATAAATTGAACAATATCATATTATGTACTTTCCCCTCAGAAATTGTACTGGCCGGTATTCATCCTCTGTAACCATGTGATTTTAAACACCTCCTTAAAGATTCTTTTATAGGGAGAGAACAAGTCAAAGGTATCTGGCTCCAAAGCTGACTGATGTACATCATTTTAAATATATCAACATTCCGCCAGAATTCTCTCTGTTGTTTCCCACAGTTTCTTGGCGAGTCCCACGTCGTAGGCAGACTTAGGAACCCAAAAACTGTGATCGTACAGACGACAATCCATGTAGTAGCCTCCCGTCTCTATGGAGTCATCAAGTGCACAGAACAGGACGGGCTGCGCACCCTCTGTTGGGGACTGTAATGTAATCAAGCTTAAAAATTTAATGGCTAATTTTTTCCTGCTTTCCTGCCAATATAGTGAGATAGTTTATTTTTTAGTTGTACATAAAGAGGGAAAGAAAGAGAAAAATCTGTATAATTTATCTATTTTCAGAAGATAAAAACGAAAACTTTCTCTTTGGATCAAGTAACCTACCTTTGTTAATACTCGGAATACTGTAGATATGAGGATTTTGACGGGCAGTGGCATATGACGGAATACGTTTGTTCTGACCGTCCCCGGGTGAACACAACAAACGGTTACGTCTAAAAGGTAGAAAAGCAATGAGATAATGACTTATTGACAAAGACCTCTAATTGAGAGATTGAAATAATTACCAAACTCTGATACTCTGGAAGTTAACTGGAACGATGGGTACCAAGGTACAAGTTTCGTTGGTACAGTCTCTGTGAGGGAACACCAAAATACTTACTAAAGAGAATGCCCCAAATACCTCCCAAAACGAGGATATAAGAGGCTTTAACCAGCAAATTGTATGCAAACTTCAAGGAACGGTCAAATCATTGGACAAAGGTTGAAGCAATTGATATACGATGGAGGAAACAGAATGGAAGTTCGAAAAAAATATCCATTAAGCAAAGTTTGCAAACAAACCAGATGATTGATAATGTGGAACAAATCAATAATTGTAAGGAGCGGGTGGACTCAGAGCGTGTACCTCTGCTATAGAATAGGATACAGAAGGATCATCACCAGGAAACAAAAATAGCGCTAGGAGGAGCCTTTACACAAAAACAATTGGCAAAATGATGGAGGATTTTAGTTTGTAAGCAAGACAACAAGAAATCCACAAATGGGGGAAGAACTTGTCGAGTAATAAATATTTTAGAATATTTTTGGTTAAAGGAGGGGTCAAAGAAGCATGACATAGTATTGAAGAGAATAGCAAGACTGCAAGAAAGAATATGAAGGCATACACCAGTACCGGGTATTATGTACACCATAAATTAATATCGATAACTGTTTTAAGGAAGCCAAATGATGGATAAAAGACAGATCACATCAGAATATACTGATTCACAAGAAGAGGACCAGGAAAAGCCGTCCTTAGCTGATTAAATTAAAAAGACATTTCGAGAGGACAAATAACTAGTTGAAGGCAAAGATAGACATCGAAGAATACGAATACGCTCACAAAGTTACGAAAAGCAACGTAAGTCATAAGATGAAGAAGGGGACAGCAATTTGTCAAGGACCTAAAAGATGTGCATTCAATTTTACAAGAGGACTTCTGAGTGTGAAAAAGCCAGGAAAACTCCATTGTCCCAAGGTAAGAGTTGAAGCAAAGTTGTGTACCTGTAACACATGTGGATCCACAAAGAAGAGATTTTATTGGAAACACTTGCATACTAGTAGGGAGATAAGCGTTGAGTATGACACTTATGACAGTGAGAAAGAAAACCAGAATAGCGTAGAATGGTCCAAGCAAGAGACGAGCTTATGAAGGCTAGAGGAAAACTTACTGAGATTACTGAGCATAAAAACGAGGAAGCTTGAAGTAAGTAAGAGTTTAAAAAACAGATAGATGACAAGCATCTGTAAGTCTTCAGGACCAAAAAAAACCTGCAAGTTGTTTGGAAAGAAAAGGAGGTATCGCGGACTCAGAGGGAGTGATATACATGCAAAAAGAAATATCCTAAGTGTTATGTGGCATGGAGTAGGTGCCTGAGGAAGAGAATGGAACAAAAAGAACCAAAAAGTAACGCAGAAGTAGTTACGATTTATGAAAGTTGTGGACTTTCCAGAAAACACATGGAGTTAAAAAATTGCAAGAGAAACATAGGAGCCAAAAGTGAAGTTAGAATGGATTTTTTCCAGAAATTGTGCAATAAAACCTAGACATTATCTGTAAATGACAAGGTTGTTAAAGGAGTTTTGTTGATCAGCGAAAAGTAAGTCAGTATCCCTGGGAATATATGCGGGGATGGAGATTCGTCCCGAAGCACGTTTACATTAAAGAGTAAACAATACAATTTCTTTTTATGTAACTTTAATAAATCACCTTTTTTCATAACTTTTACTTTGTGGTGGCAAGACTTTGCTTTATACCTTTCTCTCTTCTGGCCAGTTCCATTGTGAATAGAAGATTAGCAGTTTTGGAGTTATGGTACTGGAGTTGACTGTACCCTTTCTCCGCCCTCAAGTTATCACAGTCGACCTTTCCTATCACACTAGCCGCTGATCCTACATTTACAACCCGTCCTTTAGATTTCTTCAGTAAATCTACGAGGAAAAAAGATTTGTTCATGTGAAAAATACAAAGAGAACAGTGGTAAAAATAATAATTCTTATATCACATATTTAAGGACTGGATTCGAAAATAAAAATCGGGCTATGCTTTAAATGTCAGATTTACCTAGCAGTAGAGTTGTTAGAAGAAATGGTCCGAAGTGGTTTGTGGCAAAGGTCAGTTCTAATCCTTCTTCTGTCATTATCTTATTCTGTACTATTCAGGGAAAAAATACCTATATTTATTCAAACTAAAAATTCGCGGGGAAATAATTGGGAAAAAATATTTACTATGGTACATTTCAGAGGAATAAGTCTAATCTTTGACAGTGTTATTAAAGCATGATTTTTTCATAAGCATACCCACAACTCCAGCGTTGTTAATTAATATATCCACTTTATTTTCTTCCCGCCTGATGACATCGACAAACGATTTTACAGATGACATCAAACTTACGTCAACTTGTCTAAATATAACATTGGTATTTCCTGTCAGCTGTACGATTCTATTTTTAGCTTCCTCTCCCTTCTCAGAATTTCGACATGCAAGAATAATCCGTCCATTTCTCTTGGCAAGATCTAAAGCTATTTCGAATCCAATCCCTGAAGGAAAGATATTTTTATAAAGGCGTTTAACAAGGGTATCAGTGCGTTCAACTTTGACCTTCAGTGTTATAACGAGAACAAAAGCATTGGACGGCTTAATACTGTAAAAGCACATACTGGTAATTTCGTGGGATCAAACTTTCGAAGATTGAGGGAAAATATTGGTCTGTTGGGATTTAATTTCGTGGTTGGAAAATGTTAAGTAGTAATAGATATGAAAGTTTATACTGGTCATAAATTGTGGGTCACTCCGTCTCTCTAAAACAACAAAAGTTAAACCCCCATGAAAACTAGTGCTAATTGTAACGGGGACCGTTACAGATGTTCCCCAAACGCTCCCCAACTCCTTTTTGGTGCCATATTCCCTGTAAGCTTCATTAAATAAGACAAACTCTGTGCATTTTGACTTTAACAATGTTTTCTCAGAAGGATACCAATTATATTCAAATTTTTTTGCACCCGTGCGCATGTGAATGCATGTGCGTTATGATCATATTATCTTGTCTACAAAAATTTTAATATACAATATATTAAAGCATTCAGTAAAATTAATATTTACTCTTTCAAATGTGTATTTTTCATTTCACTTGTTCCAAATTTTCACGTGTGATGATGACCATACCTTCTTGTAGGAGTCCCTTATATCTATCTATATTCTAAATCCCATCCTGTTTGGTTGAAAAACAAGGGAGTTATAGCCATTCAAGTTTAAGACAATCAGATTGCAGCACACGTGTATGCGTGTGATTTCATGATTTTTTTCTATATCATATTGTTGGATATCACACAATGTTTTAAATTTCAAAGCATTTCAAAAAACAAAGTAGATATAGCCATTTAAAGTTTCAGCCAATCAGATTGCAGCACGCGGTCATGCGCATGCTTTCATGAAAATTCTTATACATCATGCTGTAGATCTTCATAATGTAGGTCTATGTTCAACATTTCAAAGGATTATGACAAGAAATAAGAAAGATATTGAGACTTTAGTTTCAGCCAATCAGAGCGAAGCGCACGTGCATGCGCGTGAGATCTTACTTTTTTGACCATGTCATTTTGTCTATGCTTCTAATATATACTTATAAAATGAGTTTCAAAGCATTTCACCAATAATTTAAATAGTTACGTCTGTATCAATTATATTGGACATTTCTCGTGTTGCACGTGCGAGCTTGCAAGCACATGTGCATGCACATGCTTTCATGATAAATCTTATATTACAGGCTGTAGACACAATGTATGACTATGTTCAAAATTTCAATTGATTTTATCAAAAAACAAAAAAGATATTGAAACTTTAGTTTCAGCCAATCCGAAGCACTCGTGCATGCGCGTGCGATCTTGCTATTTTGACCATGTCTTCTCGTGCATACTACTTATATATCCTTACATTATAAGTTTCAAAACATTTGAAAAATCAAATTACGGTTATATCCATTATATATTGGTCATTTTAAGTTTTGCACGTGCGCGCTCTTGCAAGCACGTGCGCGCAAAATGACCTTGAATCTACATAACATGCCTAATTACCCTAAAAAGGTTTCACCTAAGTCGGATGTGTAGTTTACAAGATCACTCGACAAAATTTTCCCAGGAAGAAAAATAATAATAATAAGAACTAGTGCTAATTGTAACGGGGACCGTTACAGATGTTCCCCAAACGCTCCCCATTTCCCTTTTGGTGCCATATTCCCTGTAAGCTTCATTAAATAAGACAAACTTTATGCATTTGAGAAAAACGTTTACCGAAAGGGTACAAAGTTCATTCAAATTTTAGCATTGCACGCGTGTGTGAATGCATGTGCGTAATGACCATATCATCTTGTCTACACAATCTATATACTTTAATATACTAAATATTAAAGTATTTAATCTATTAAAAAATACGCTCATTCAATTGTATTTTTGATTTTAATTTCACGTGCACGCACGTGCATACATGAGCATGGTGACATACCTTCTTGTAGAAGTCCATTACATCTATCTATGTTCTAAATACCACTCCGTTTGGTTGAAAACCAAGGGAGTTATAGCTGATTAAAGTTTCAGCCAATCAGATTGCAGCGTACGTTCATGCACGTGTACGGATGTGCATTGTGATCAAACCTTCTTGTAGAAGTCTATTATATCTATCTATGTTCCAAATCCCATCCTGTTTGGTTGAAAACCAAGGGAGTTATAGCTATTTAAAGTTTCAGCCAATCAGATTGCAGCGCACGTGCATGCACGTGTTTTCATGAAAATTGTTATATATCATGTTGTAGGATATCCTAATGCATGGCTATGTTCAAAATTTCAAAGGATTTCATCAAAAAACAAGAAAGATATTGAGATTTTAGTTTCAGCCAATCAGAGCGAAGTGCACGTGCATGCGCGTGAGATCTTGCTATTTTGACCATGTCATATTGTCTATGCTACAACTATATCCTTATATTACGAGTTTCAAAGCATTTCATCAAGAAGGTAAAAATTTACGCCGATATCAATTAAATCGGTCATTTCACGTGTTGCCTGCGCGCTCTTGCAAGCACGTGCACACAAAATGGCATGTTGACAATGTCATCTTATCTACATTTATAATATGTCTATATATTCTAAATATCAAAGCTTTACATCGAAAAATGTAAAAGTTACGGCAATTTCAACTATATTGGTCATTCCACGTGTTGCACGTGCGCGCTCTTGAAGACGTGCGCGCAAATGACCTTCGTTCCGCACATCTACATAACATGCCCACTTACCCTAAAAAGGTTTCCCCTTAATCGGATGTGTACTTTACAAGATCATTCGCGGACAAAATTTTCCCGTGAAGAAAAATAATAATAATAAGAAACAGAGTAAAAACAATTGTCCCCTTCACTTGGGAACATAATAATAATAATAAGAAACAGAAAAATAGTTCCCCAACTTCGTTTGGGGAACATAATTAGTGATTTCAGTCACAGTGACAGTTTTGTAATTGTATTTATCGTAATATGTCATTTTCATTAATCAGTGGGTTCATCCAAAGTCGATGAGTTCAATTTGTTTTTAAATAGACTTGGGTGGTTGTAAATTTATACAAAAAATATGAAAATATCTGAGTAATATTAATATTTATAAAATGTGATTTTATTGAAATTTTCACCTGTGTTTGCGCCAGTTATCACAATCGTTTTTCCTTCCAAGGTTTTCTTGCTGTTGCATTTCCCTTTCTTCAGTTTAATATAGAAGTATAAACACACATAAACTCCGCATCCTACCAGCAAATAGGATTCTGTATTTCGTGAGAGGAACACCCCCATCTCGTTATCTGTTAAACAAACATTATTACATGTATTTGATTTCATAATTAAATGATGCAAATTTGTAAAGCGAAGTATGATATCTTTCTTGTTCATTGTTTAATTGTACATTTGCATATTAAATTAATTGTGATGGACACATATACTCGTATACCACGTGTCTGAATGTTACGTCCACCCGAGTGGAACTGGGTTGGGAGGGTCTGAAGTACTCAATCTATCTTTTGTGCAATGTAGAAAATTAAATCCTAGTCTGAAAGGTCAAGCGCATGTCGCGATCGGCAGTACTTATTTTTTTTATACACTGTGAGATTTCTGACAATCAGAGACAGAGGAGAGCTAAGGATTATTATAAACCAACAAAATTCTCATTTCCTCTTCGTGTGTCTAAGATGATAATCATTTATTTAGAGAAAAAGTAGAAAGCATGTACAATACCTTTATATAATTATATCCGGGTTATCGTGTGACCACCACGTGTTGACTATTTACAAGCTATCTATAGTACATTGTCGATTTAATCTCAAGACGCGTTTTATGTGGATGTAAACAAACAACACTGGTTTATGCACAGGCATAAAACATTTTTATGGGCCCGGATCGATAGACGGGGACGCATATTGTTTTTGTCCTGTCTGTCTGTTTGTCTAGCTGTCCAGCTGTTTGTGAATGTCTGTCTGTTGTCAACTTTAACCTTCGCCATAACTTTTGAACCATGAAAGTTAGCGACTTCTTTTTGGTATACTTGCTCCACTAATTAAGCTCTTTCAAATGTCCTCAAGGTCAGTGACCTTTTGACCATGACTGTGACCAATATGCTAAAAATAGCTTTTTCGAAACTTCGCTATAACTTTTGACCCATAGGAGATAGAGACTTCATATTTGGTATGCTTACTCCACTAATTGAGTTCTTTCAAATGACACCAAGGTCAATGACCTTGTCACCTTCACTGTGACCAATATGCTAAAAATAGCTTTTTCGAACTTTGTTGCCATCGGATGCATATTTCACAAACACATCTTGTTTTCAAAGTATTTTACGGGTGTTATTAAAATTTGCTAACTGATTTAATGTGGAATTACAAGAGGCTCATTAGCCTCAACGCTAAATCACGTCATATTTTTCATCCATCAACAACCAAGTGTATTTCTACATCAACTAGGTTGTACCGGTACTCGTTCACAATATGACCCCATAATAAAAGATTCGTGGATATATATTCTTTGCCCTGTCCGTCCATATGTCTGTCTGCAAAAACTTTATTTAATCTTTCCAATCCATTTAACTTTTGAAAAGTTGGAGATATTGCTTACATATTTTACATATTTATTCCTTTGAATATTAACATCTGTCCTCTTGACCGTAGAATTCGACCCACTTAGGCAAAACTTTACCCAACTTCAATCTTGGCCAAGACTTTTGCACAGTTGGTGTTAGGACTTTCATATCGCAAGATGTGTCTTCATTGTGATAAAACCTTTTTATAGGTTTAACTATTTTTTATCTTTTTGACCTTGACCCTAGGGTTTGCTAGTCCAGAACTTTTGAACAGTTGGTACTAGGGCTTTCAAATTTTAGAGATATATTCCTTGTGACAAGACCTCCCTTTGCATTATCAACAATTTTGACCTTGCTGTGTGACCTACTTCTGCAAAACGTTAACCTCGCTATGAGCTGCCGTATGGGGGCATGTGTTTCACAAACAAATCATGTTTCTCTCAGATTTCAAGGAATAATGCATATATTATTAATTTTTATCATATTATACTTTCATGTAAATTAGTTGAATCTGATTCGTCGAGAAACATTTGTTAATACACATTTATTGACCGAGTTCGAGGGCAACGTGCATTTTGTCGGACCCAAGAACCAAACTGTTTGCCTGAGGCCGTTTGCCCGAGAACACAGTTAATAAATGTTTTGCTTTACCTTTCACATTAATATTTTTTGACATACGTGTATCTTGTACTGTCTGAACAACAACGAATGCAAATGAGATTAAGCTCCGACCATTGTGTGACGTAAGCGGTCCAACATCTCATTGACAGGTCCAACATCTCACTCAGTGGTCAAACATCGATTTGTAGTATGTTTCACTGATGGAACTAGATCCACATATGCATAGTGATGTTTACCGAATTCTATTCTAAATGTAACATTGCTTCTCAGTTTTAAAGGGGAGAGGCCAGAGTTGAGGACAAAACTTACTCTCATATCAGGAAATACTTGTTTGCTAAATTCAAAAACCTGCATTCCTGTATAAAATAAACACATTCTGAAGTTAGATTTTCTAACATCCCTGTAAATGTACATTACAAATAAGGAAAAACTATTTAAAATGAGAAATGTTTTATATTTGTCCACGATTCATATACATCATACATGTATATGTACAAACAAATTATAAAAAAAAATTATAAACAAATTATCATACACATGTACATGTGTATATACATGTATCAATGTAGCAGTAACAAAGACAATGAATACAATTCAGTGGAGAGACAGTACAATATGAAAACAATACATACAAAATTGGTCATGGAAAATATGGTATATTTATATAAAAGTTTTGTAAAAATTTGTTCATTGGTTGTGTTGTCTTTTCAAAATTAAATGGTAGCAGCAATAATTTATCTAATGAGATCAAGTGCATTAATTTATGTATGATTATCCTTAATTAATTTCTTCTTTTGCATTTCTACTAAATCAAAGAATGGTAAAATGGTTTTGTTTTGAAGTTTTTGTAACTTTTGCAAATTAAAAAAAAAATTAAAATTCTTTCAGCACAATCTCATGAATACAAAACACTGCAGAATTTTCAACCACTCAAAGAAAACTGAAATACATGCAGATAAACAGTGACTGATTATGATAGCATTATTTCAGTTTTCTTTGGGTGGTTGAAAATTCTGCAATGTGAGAAAATGAAATCTCTACTAATACTCACTAAGCTTAAGATATACTAGTGTTAAAGTGTTCTGTATTCATGGGATTGTGCTGAAAGAATTTTATTTTTTTTTAAAAGGGAAGATGGTTACTGGCAAGGGATTTGGACCTTCATATGATGACAATTTTTAAAAAACCTCTCTTGAAATAAAAAAAAAGAAAACATGCTTAAATATAAATCTCATCCTTATTCCAAAGAAAGGTTATAAGTATAAAACAGGGAAAGAGTATTGGGTATAACTGAAGGGATGGACAATAAAAATACATATTTAAATAATAAAATGAAACAGAAACATAGAATAAAAGATGTAATTCATGTATTCATCATGCATGAATCAGAAAAAAGGTAAATGAGCAATAAAAGTCAGAAATGAGAATGGTCAACAAGCACCTCATTATCACAGTTTGTTAGAGTAAGTACAGAATTGGTGAAACCATGGATATATATTTAGATTGAAAAAAAGTATTCTAAAGTACCTTGTATTTCTTTGCTAATGTGTTAGGGGAAAAACTAGAAGTGAATATTTTGTAAAATAGCACACTTCTCACAATACTTTTTTGAAGATTATTTTTGTCTGTCAAGATTGTAAATGTATGAATTAGACATTGTCACAAAGTATGGTTGTACAGATCCTGCTGTACACAAAAACAACACAAAACTAGACAGCTTACTCAAAAATAATACAAGAAAACTATCAGTCTTGAGCACCTCTGTATGCTTTTTTTTAAAAAGAAAAATAAATTTATCAATAAGTTAAAAATTATAACAAAATACATCAATCTGCTTAATGCTGTTTAAAATTTTTGGTCTATTTATAATTTAAAACAGTCAAATACGTGTATAACCTTTCATGATTGAAATTCTCATCTTTTCTGCTGAATTCAATAACAAACTGTCTGTTAACAGGGACAATTAATGTTTTGATACAACACACTTCTAAATATTGAAAGGGTAAGTATTATACATGTATTGAGATAACAATATATTAGGTTTTACATATAAGTACTTCAAGACCCTAAAAAATTATCTAATGTAATATTCAAGCAATGAAGTGTCATATAAATATTATATTTTTTTATATATCTGAAAAACAGTCACATACATGTATGTACATGTACGTAAATTCAGATAAAAAGTCCTGTCTGCTTGTCTGTACAACAGATACTCTAGAACACTGACTATTGGGCACTTCTGCAATGAAGATATAAAAATACTGATTCTAAAACACTTTGAGCACCAAGTCAGATTCATTAATCTGTACCATATAAAGAAAAACTTCATAAATAAAGACAAATGTTCAGAAGAAATGAAGACTTTATAAAAATAACATGTCTTCTATTAGTTTGTGTTTATGTGAAGGGTGAATACCTAATGAAAACAACACTCATGAGAAAGTTTGGTCAATGCTGAAGGTTGCATAGAGTTGTACTAAATAATCAGTCTCATTCACATATGTATTACAAAGAATCCATTGATTTTTGGTCCTAAAAGTGATGGAGGAATGAAACACCTTTATGTCCAGTAGGACCCTGTCAACCAGACACATTTAAATAATCTGGCATATTGATGGTCTCCACCTGAATACTATGTTAATTCAGCACAATGAAATCATACTCCTAAGTTCTGGATTACACATTTCTTTTTGGACCAAGTTTTTCAGCATATTGGAACTGTTTCACTCATAGCCTAAGACTCTATGCAGTAGAGCTACAGTTCATCACAGACTCATTCTTTTGAGACTCTCTAGTATCAAGTCAATGTGAATCATGTTACGGATCCCGATCTCCATTAAGTCTATTTTGGACATGTTTTTGAGGAACTGAAGCTGATCGAAACCATTCTTGATGAAGTTGTCCTGGTACTGTGGAAGGTTAATCCCTCTCAGCCAGTCACCAATAGGACTCTTCTGCTGGGGGCAAGAAAAAAATAAGTAAGACTGAAGTTGATACCAAGTGTTACAGAATAATATGAATCATTTCATTATGATAGACTGATGATGGGGGATTCATGTGCTATTTACTGACAAATTTAATCAATACAATACAGAAGATTCTGCATTTTTATACTTTATACTGAGGATGAAAATTTGACAAAGCTTTTACAGAAAAGTAATATTTTGATTGCCCTTATCAAGGGATAGAAAAGAAGAATTCAAGTTTTGATTGATTTTAAAATATTTTACTGTCTTGTTAATTTTGAGGAGATTTTGCCATACTCTCTTTTGGTATATTGACAAATCTGGTCTGTTGTTTAGGTAGGTATGATGGAAGTTTATTTTGAGAAGATTTAGTCATACTCACTTTTGGTATATTGACATAGCTGGGCTGTTTTTTGGGTACAGGAGGTGGTGGTTTATTGGGAGGTTCTGTGACAGTACACCCCACTGGTGCTGATTTATGGGAGGCCTGCATTGCCCCTGGTCCTGTGGGTGGAGGAATCCGGATTCGACTGGAGCTCTGAAGAAGGATAAATCTTACGATTACAATAATATTAGCTTACTTCTATTAAAAGTTTATCAGTTATGACTAAGCATTCCCTAAACTTAAGAGAGTTAAAATACGTATACATTTTATAAATCTAATTTAACAAGTAGATATAATATTTGCAGGTTTTCAAAACTACAAGTATCTGAATTATCCTTCAGAATTTGTGTTTTCATGGATTGCATAGAAGCTATGAATTAATTAATATATGTACATGCATTCCCTTAAGTGAGATGAAAATGTAATAAAGATAATATCCACTTATCCTTCTTTTAATTTAAAAGTAAAATCATCAGTTTCATACTAAAGCTTTATGGTATTATCTGACCCTCAATGTACCGGTAAGCTAGCGCATTATTGATTATTTGCCAGTGTAAGCAGAATCAGTCAGCAGCTTTGTTTTTGTGATACTTGCCCAACTTCTATTTTGCACACACTCACTCTCCCCCACACAAAAGCACATTAATTTATTATATCCCCTCAAACTTCATTGTGAGGGATAATGAAAAATGAATGTTAAGACCAACAATTCAACAATCTAGGGCATTAAAATATTTGTAAAAATAATGATTTAAAAGACAGCTAAGATGTGACATTTTGTAAAGCATTAGAAAACCCAGTAGCCATGGCAGCAAGTTGTAGATTTTATGGCATACCGAATCACAAAGAATGTTTTCCAATTGTTTTTGAAACAATGCACTTGATTGGACATCACCATACTTGTATACTTGCTGTGTAAAAAGTTTCAAAAAATATTTATAAAACTCTTTGTCTTTTTAGCTCACCTGAGCCGAAGGCTCAAGTGAGCTTGTCCGGCGTCCGTCTGTCTGTCTGTCTGTCCGTCTGTAAACTTTTCACATTTTCGACTTCTTCCCACAAAGTATCCTTGGGTGAAGGGGATTCAAGTTTGTTCAAATGAAGGGCCACGCCCTCATTCAAGGGGAGATAATTGGGAATTTATGAAAATTTGGTGGCATATTTTAAAAATCTTCTCAAGAACCACTGTGCCAGGAAAGATGAAACTTATTGGGAAACATCCTCAGGTAGTGTAGATTCAAGTTTGTTCAAATCATGACCCCCGGGGTAGGGCGGGGCCAAAATGGCCGACCAAAGTTTTACATAGAAATATATAGGAAAATTCTTTAAAAATCTTCTTCTTAAGAATGACAAAGCCATAATTCATCATATTTATATGAACCAGCATGCTCAGGTTGTGTAGATTCAAGTTTGTTCAAATCATGACCCCCAGGGGTAGGGCGGGGCCAAAATGGCCGACCAAAGTTTTACATAGAAATATAAAGGAAAATTCTTTAGAAATCTTCTTCTCAAGAATAGCAAAGCCATAATTGATCATCTTTATATGGAAGCATCCTCAGGTAGTGTAGATTCAAGTTTGTTCAAATCATGACCCCCACAGGGGTAGGGCGGGGCCAAAATGGCCGACCAAAGTTTTACATAGAAATAAATAGGAAAATTCTTTAAAAATCTTCTTCTCAAGAATAACAAAGCCATAATTGATCATATTTATATGGAAGCATCCTCAGGTAGTGTAGATTCAAATTTGTTCAAATCATGACCCCCAGGGGTAGGGCAGGGCCAAAATGGCCGACCAAAGTTTTACATAGAAATGTATAGGAAAATTCTTTAGAAATCTTCTTCTCAAGAATAGCAAAGCCATAATTGATCATATTTATATGTTTAAGCATCCTCAGGTAATGTAAATTCAAGTTTGTTTAAATCATGACCCCCAGGGGTAGGGCGGGGCCAAAATGGCCGACCAAAGTTTTACATAGAAATGTATAGGAAAATTCTTTAAAAATCTTCTTCTCAAGAATAGCAAAGCCATAATTGATCATATTTATATGGAAGCATCCTCGGGTAGTGTAGATTCAAGTTTGTTCAAATCATGACCCCCAGGGGTAGGGCGGGGCCAAAATGGCTGACCAAATTTTTACATAGAAATTTATAGGAAAATTCTTTAAAAATTTCTTCTCAAGAATAGCAAAGCCATGATTGGTCTTTGGACTTCTTTTGGATTTAAACTTTTCAAGTATAAACCAATTCTGCTTTTTCCTAGCCACAGTGCTCAGGTGAGCGATGTGGCCCATGGGCCTCTTGTTTGAATATGTAATTTAATAGCAGCAAATCAATGGCTTTTGAAACACTAAACCTAACTTGAATCTTATCCTTTGACTATTTTCTTCGGAGATTATAGTATTCAAGTTTATGGTCTAAATTCAAACTCAAATGTTTCCATTAAAACTCCATATATAAAGTCATCTCTATGACCTGTGTCTAGATACATTTTGGTGCAAAATATTGGAAATAATTTTTTTTGTCTTACCGGGAGATCATCCACTGCGGGGCGCGATGAAATAGGAATGGGAGGTTTGTCTAGTAATGCAGCAGGCATGCTCTGTACATGGGTTAGGGTGGCATGGCTGCCACTAATCTGGGGGCCCGTTAGGGGGGATAGGGTGTCTGCTGAGGGTGGCAAATCTGAATGCATCAATTCTGGATCAATATATTCTGTATCCAACGCAACCAATTCTGAAAAAAAATTTAAAACTTCTTTTAAAGCATGAAATGTTAATTAATAAATAAGGCATTGCTTGAAAATGTTTACCCTACACATATAAAAATGATCCATTAAATAAATATTTAGATTAAAGAGTACCATAAGATTTCTTGATAGAACTTCTGGGAGTAAATGACCCTGTCAAAGCATGCACCTGGCCACTGGAAAAAAAAAGAATTACATATTATGTAAACAAAATTACCAGGTATTGGGGTATTTTAATTTTACTTTATTTTTTCTTCTGTATTACAGATTTACTAGATACTGTACATGTAATACAATTTGACAATGAGGTCATGAAAAAATAGAGATTTTTTTTTAAATTTTATATCAAACTTATTCAATCTTTGATTAACCTTTCCTCAAATTTAACAAGTTGCTAAAAGTACAACGACCAAGACATTATTTCATCTACAATATTTTTTATTTGTGGAAAGCAAATGTGACATTCTTAATCCAGTGTGCTTCATTTTTATAAGGTGGCTTCTTCAACTTTCCAGTGTAACATAATAATTATACATGTATAACAATTATTCTTCAATATTTTGTTGACAACCTTAACTTTCACTGTGACATATAATGATGACCTTGACCTACCTTAATTTTCCAGTGACCTCCCCTTGGTGAAGCAGCTGACACTCGAATGCCTGGGGCTTGTTGATGTCAATCTTATTTTTCAGTTCTACGACACATTCACCTGTAATATCAAAACAATCTTGCATAAATATGCAATAACCTGTACCAAATTTCCTCTGATTTTATAATTTATGAGAACCAGAAGTCTCTGTCGAGACTGTAGCTCTACTGGTTTATACTTAAAACAAAGGAAGAGAAAAGTAGCAACTGGGACTTGAAACTTTAAAACAGCAATAAATAGAAAAATGATCCTTGCCGCTCATCAAAATAAAAACTGATGCGCAGAATTATGTATCTTAGTATAGTCTACTTGTGTGCCAAGTTATATTGAAATCCGACCAAAACTGTAGGAGGAGTAGCATTTTGAAAGAATTATACAGAAATTTCTATTTTTAGTAACCATGGCAACACCGTTCATCGAAATCAAAAACCGATGCACAGAATTATGTATATTAGTGTAGTCTACTTGTGTGCCAAATTTTATTGAAATCAGACCAAAACTGTTGGAGAAGTAGCATTTTGAAAGCATTTCACAGAAATTTCTACTTTTAGTAACTATGGCAACACCGTTCATCAAAATCAAAAACTGATGCACAGAATTATGTATCTTAGTGTAGTTTACTTGTGTGCCAAGTTATATTGAAATCAGACCAAAACTGTAGGAGGGGTAGCATTTTGAAAGCATTTCACAGAAATTTCTATTTTTAGTAACCATGGCAACACCGTTCATCGAAATCAAAAACCGATGCACAGAATTATGTATCTTAGTGTAGTCTACTTGTATGCTAAGTTATGTTGAAATTGGACCAAAACTGTAGGAGGAGTAGCATTTTGAAAGAATTGTACAGAAATTTCTATTTTTAGTAACCATGGCAACACCGTTCATCGAAATCAAAAACCGATGCACAGAATTATGTATCTTAGTGTAGTCTACTTGTATGCCAAGTTATGTTGAAATCGGGACCAAAACTGTAGGAGGAGTAGCATTTTGAAAGAATTATACAGAAATTTATATTTTTAGTAATCATGGCAACACCGTTCATCGAAATCAAAAACCGATGCACAGAATTATGTATCTTAGTGTAGTCTACTTGTGTGCCAAGTTATATTGAAATCGGACCAAAACTGTAGGAGGAGTAGCATTTTGAAAGCATTTCACAGAAATTTCTATTTTTAGTAGCCATGGCAACACCGTTCATCAAAATCAAAAACAGATGCACAGAATTATGTATCTTAGTGTAGTCTACTTGTGTGCCAAGTTATATTGAAATCAGACCAAAACTGTAGGAGGGGTAGCAATTTGAAAGCATTTCACAGAAATTTCTATTTTTAGTAACCATGGCAACACCGTTCATCGAAATCAAAAACAGATGCACAGAATTATGTATCTTTGTGTAGTCTACTTGAGTGCCAAGTTATGTTGAAATCGGACCAAAACTGTAGGAGGAGTAGCATTTTGAAAGAATTATACAGAAATTTCTATTTTTAGTAACCCTGGCAACATCATTCATTGAAATCAAAAACCGATGCATAGAATTATGTATCTTAGTGTAGTCTACTTGTGTGCCAAGTTATATTGAAATCGGACCAAAACTGTTGGAGGAGTAGCATTTTGAAAGCATTTCACAGAAATTTCTATTTCTAGTAACCATGGCAACACCGTTCATCGAAATCAAAAACCGATGCACAGAATTATGTATCTTAGTGTAGTCTACTTGTGTGCCGAGTTATATTGAAATCGGACCAAAACTGTAGGAGGAGTAGCATTTTGAAAAATTTGTTTACAGACAGACAGACAGACAGACAGACGCCGGACGCATTACTATCGCATAAGCTCTTCTGGTCTCTGACCAGTAGAGCTAAAAATAATAATTTAGAGTTAAAGAAAAAGTTTAAATTTTTACGTGTAAAACTGACCATAAGATTCATTGTCACTGTCCCTGGACCTTACAGCGATCAGAATGTGCTGATCCCCCAGGTACTCCTCATCCCCGAATAAAGGCCTCAGCTACAACAGTTATTATTAATATTATACTTTCATGTAAATTAATTGAATCCGATTGATTGAGAAACATTTGTTATTACCCACTGAATAATGAAGCCAGCGTAGCAACAGTCAACATTGCTTGACGACGAGTGAAATTCCAAATAATAGTGACTGCACAGAATTTATGCGCGCATGGTTCACTGTTATATGCATTTGTATAAAACATTCAGTATAATATAATAAATATTGCATGTAGTTGAGTGTAACATTAAAAATTTTCACCCCTAAAAAACCATTGTCAACCTTGGCTGCGCCTCAGTTGACAATGGTTTTCTAATTGGGGTGAAAATTTTCGATGCTACACTCAACTACATGCAATATTTATATATTATCACACTTTTTTAAATACTGGGTGTGTAGAAAAAAAAATTCACAAAATATACTTAAAATTATAACTCCTTCTACTGATTCTTTCGATGATTTACATGTATTCCTATCAAACTTAGCTGACACACATTTATGAAGCTTAGATTTAGCACAGAATCTTCAAAGACATATTAAAAATGTGTTAAAATGATTTCAATTGTCATATAAAGACAGAGTAAAGTGCCTGATCCAATACATGTTACATACGAGAAGTACAAGATAATAAATAATTGATTTCTTTACCTCAGGAATCTGTTTTTTCTCCCACACAGGACACGTGTAGAATCCTGTCTTATGCTGCTGGAAACTGGTATTGGCTGAACTGGGTACCACATCTACAGGTAGAATCAAATTATATAAAAATAAAGGTATCTACAGGTAGGATCTATTCACATTAATTATAAAACTGGGTAACTTTCCAATACAGTTCAACACCAATATCTTAATTTCATGGATATTTCAAAGTTAGTTGGAAGTCCCTATGACCTTTTATGTATTTTAAATAAAAAAAATTAAATTTCCAGAAGATAGCTTGAATTTTTTTCCCCTTTTAACAGGGTTCAAAATAACTAGGTTTAATAAATAATAGTCATCACATTAAATATAGGAGTTTATATTACAGCATATAAATAACGTATTAACATAAACACTGACCTTTCTTTCAACATTCATCATTTTGTCTTACCTGCTAAGCATGTGGAATGGAATTCTAGGTAAAAATACTGCTTACAACATGTTTTAACCTGTAATATAAAACAAAGGACTTATTCCAAAATTCACACATTCCACTACAATTAACTTTTACTTTATTTATTGTAGATCACTTTTTGCTGTGGTGCATATATTTTCATTGTTAAAGAGCATAAAAGACAATTACCAATATTTGCACATATTTTTTCTCGTTTATAAATCCCTAATAACTTTCAATTGAAAATAAGATGTACGTAGCAAGTTGATCTACAGTACAGATAACAAGATCTATACATATAGTTTATGTTTGTGAATGTTTTGTTAGTGACTTACTTGAGCAACAACTTGGTGAAATACAATTTTAATCAGAGATTCAGTGGTTAGGGAATTCCTGTTCATGACAAAGTCTGAAGTGATTCCCACGTTAAATGATGAGAACACGGGCCGATGGTCACTCCCAAGCACCTTGTCAGCACAACCTAAACAAGATAAAAATTTACAATCAAAAATCTGTCATTACTCCTTTAATAGTATGCATTTATGGAAATACAAAACCTAATATTGGGAATTTTTCACTTTCAACTCAATGTAATGATTCAGACTGCACTATAAAGACTTGAGGAAAAATTCATGACTGCTGAATACAGATTTATTTTATTTTTTAATGATCTGTGAAGGCAAAAGTTATGCTCTATAATACCTCACAGCATTGCAGTAAATACATGATTGTATTAATATTGAGTTTTATACACCTACCACAAGCTAGATTTCCTATGTATAATATAATATACAACTACCATAAGCTAGATTTCTATGTATCTCATACACCTACCATAAGCCAGATTTCTATACACCTACCATAAGCTAGATTTTCTATGTATGTGCCTGGATAGGACCTCCACAGTACCCTGTCACACCACGAAGGAGCATTGATCCTCTCCTATAAAAAAGACAAAATTGATCTGAAATTCACTGTCAAAACAACAAGATCTGCTTTGAGTCAATGCTGCCCCTTTTGTGACAGTCAAGGTAGGAGGTAAAAAAAATCCCAAAGTTAAAGTTATTCAAATATAGGTCAAACTCCAAGGTTAAGAGTTGATAAAATGTTGAAACCAACTAACTGTTCTTGTTACAGAGAATACCCTGACATATAATAGCTTTATTACTCTTATTAAAAAAATATGGACAATATAAAAGTTTTTTTTCAACAACAGGCCCATGGGTCTTAAAGGTCACCTGAGTATCATGCAACAACTTTTCAACAATTGAATTGCCTCGTGTTTGAAACCAAAGGCCATGAAATTCACATTTTCGAAAGAGGCACCATTGCTTATCATAATGATACACCTAGCTTGCTTAATTTGGTAACTTAATACCCAGAGGTAGATCAGAGTAACAAAGAGAAAATGCATTTCCACTTTTCCACAGTTGTGCATCCCACCCCACAGGAACCATTGACCCTGGGGCAACACATTTCAAAATTTTGGAAATTTTATCATGAATTACTGGTTGATTACTAATGAAGAGCAGATTTCAAGGCATTAATCTAAATTCAGACTATAAAGCCCCCCGCCTTGGGTAACCCCTGACCCAAAGGTCCAGAAATTAGCCATTTTGGAAGAGGCACATTTCATCATCATTAATATGTACTAAGATCATTGGCATAATACCCAGGAGCAAAGGGAAAGATTTTCAAAGATTTCATGCATTTTCATTATATATTTATAACCCTGAACTTACACCAAACCCCTGACCCAGGGGCCCTGATATTAACAATTTTGGAAGAGGCAGCCTTCTTCATCATGTTCACTGGTTTAATACCCTGGAGCAGAGGAGATTTTTAAAGAATTCATGTATTTTCACAATATAATCAATAGAGCCCCACCCTAATACTAGAGCCCCTGACCCTGGGGAAATGAAATTCACAGTTTTGGAAAAGGCAGCCTTATTCAACATAACTATGTACTTGGTTAGTTCATTTAATACTCAGGAGCAGAGAAGAAGATTTTTAAAGAATTAATGTATTTTTCACTATACATGTATATAATCAGTAGAGCCCTACCTAACACTAGAAACCCCAACCCAGGGACCCTGAAATTCATTATTTTGAAAGAGGCATCCTTCCTTACCATAACTATGTACATAGTTCACTGGCTTCATACCCAAGGCAGAGAAGACTTTTACAGAATCAATGTTTTTTTTTCATTATATAATCGATTGAGCCCCACCCTAACAGCAGAACCCCTGACCCCGGGGCCATGAAATTCACAAATTTGGAAGAGGCAGCCTAATTCAACATAACTATGTATTTGTTTTGTTTATCAAATACCAGGAGCAGAGAAGAAGATTTTCAGAGAAACAATGCATTTTCACTATATAATCTATATAGCCCCACCCTAGCACTAGAACCCCTGCCCCCAGGGCAATGAATTTCACAATTTTGGTTGAGGACTCAATGCTGATTACAATTATGCAAACAGTTTGACTGCTTGATGTTCAGGAGTAAAGATGAAGATTTTTAAAGATTGCACTGATTTTAGTGGTTTTGGCTCCACCCCTCAGGCCCCAGGGGAGCGGGGACCATGAAATTCACAATTTTTGTTCTCTTTTACCCATAGATGCTTTATGCCAAATTTGGTTGAAATTGGTTGAGCGGTTGCAGATAAGAAGCTGAAAATGTTTAAATGTTAACACACGATGGACGACAACGGACGAAAACGGATAGCAATAGGTCACCTGAGTTTACTCAGGTTACCTAAAAAGAAGGTTATACTCCTAGGTCAATACATGTATCAAAAGGACAAAAACAAAATTGTACCACATGAAAAGTTTTGTCACAAAGTAGAAAATGAAAGCCCTAGCACAAGCCCTGTATACAGTAGGGTGAATTCACCATGCATCGGACACATACCTTGCATCGGACAACTTTAGACAATAAATTCTCTTTCAACTTAAGAGTTCCGTGTATTTATTTGTTTCTGTCTAGAAGCTGAAGATTTAAATTTTTTAATGATACCGATTGTTATTATCATGGTGTGATAAAAATACCCCGAGAATGGCCTTGAAGTTACGTCATATTTTACATCATCAAAGGGGAATAACCAGAAATTTATGATTTTTCGATTTTTAGAGTTATCGTTCTTAAAATTCGACTTCAGCGGAACGAGTCAGACTTTGGTAAATAAAGTCAAAGATTGGTAATTTTACATAAATTTTAAAGAAATTTCACTTCAATGTTCGAATAATTCTTTATAGAACTGGTTTTCACTAGTATGTTCATTTCTCCGTACATCGGACACAAATTAACCATGCATCGGACACTTTCCGATGCAATGGTAAGTACTACCATTTTCATACAGAACCCATCTGATAGCTGTTTTTTGCGGAAAAGGAAAATAAAAACTCTATATTTTCAGTCAAAATACAAGTTATCGATATATGACGTCTGGAATTTGACTCAATTTATTTCTACAAACCAGAGTATGATAAACCATGAAAAAAGGCGCGAATTACCGCATTATAAGCATTTTAAAGCATTTTTGTGACAGAGTGAGGTCTTTTGAATCGTTCTACGTTTGTGCAACAACATCGTCAATTAAATTTAAGTTGAGGGTTAATTCTTAGATAAAAGATAAAAAGATATCCATATCAAGGATTTTGAAGCACTTTAATAAAGGTATGATATTTTTCCGGTCAAAATACTGTCTGTCCGATGCATGGTAAACAATGTCCGATCCATGGTGAATTTTGAGTTATTCCTAAAAACTCGATTTTTGAGGATATTTTCTAAATAAAGGGCATATAATTGTGTCCCAAATTGATATTTTAATCACAAACTAAATGTTAAACTCCATTTTGATAATTTTCCGTCGGTAGCGATATCACTAGAACTTGTTGAAGTACAAGGGTATCCGATGCATGGTGAATTCACCCTATATATATCACATTCTGTTATTACATACCCCTGTTTTCTTGACTTTCTTCCAGTCATATTTGTACTCTATCTGGAACCTTGGTAACCTGTATGTTGGCATGAATGAGATGTCTTCCTCACCTGTCAAAATAATTAATGTATCACTGAGCAAAAAAAATCAACTGAAATGTCTATTTCAATCATTGTTCAATTTTAACTTCTTCAGCAGGTTGTATTTCCTGATTTCATTACTTTAATTACACCACCTGCATGTACAATCAGGCAATGTCCATTGTTTCATTTTTGCCTCTTTGCCCTGATTGTCAATAGGCAAATTCAAAATAGAGAGAATCCCTGCTCTCATTTTTCCAGAATATGTGATACAACTTTCCATTAAACTCAAACAATCGCAAAAACAACCCTATATACAGTATTAATACTATTGGTAAATGTGATATACTCACAGAAACCACAGAAGCCCTTCTTTTCTCTCTGGACTTTCTTCAGCTGATCTTTGGTTATTAAGTATTCTATATCTCGGGACTCCAATTTTTCTAGAATTGTCTGAAAAGGAGATAATTAATAACATTCATTATAAAATGCACTCACTGGGAATATTATTGACTAATTAACATCATATTTTCAGTACACTCACGGCAATATTGTCCTCGATTCGGTAGTTGAGGTCACCGAGCCAGAACAGGTGATTAAACTGATTAAGGACGTCAAACAGACCCAGGTGTTTCTGCCCCAGGGACAGGCCCTTAATGATGTCACGGTAGTTCTGGTTCCTCCTACAACACACAAAGAATCAAACTGAATGGAGGACCAATGCACTTGGAAAAACACGTAGACTGGCCTTGCCTGTCTGATATGCATGATCTTTTGTACAATAGAGACAGGCAATACCAGTCTAAAAAAACATGTATGTCATGCAGCAATTATTGAGAACATGCAACTTTCATTAATTCTATAAGATTTTTTGCTATAACCCACCACCCTACCCAAAGTTAAATATATCAATTCAAACTGCATGGGAACACTCTTTGTTGTAGGGTTAACATGATGGTCACTTTATTGTCTCAACTAATCAAATTCTTTTTAACAAATGATTATATATGTGAAGTATAGTAATATAATCTCATTATATTTCATTCTTACACTTTTAATAAATTTAATTAGCATTTTAACAAGAGGCCCATCGGCCACATCGCTCACCTGAGAAGCTTTGGCCATTCTGTTCTTTACCAGATTTCCCCCTTGTAATACATATTGTGACCCCACCCTACCCCACTAATCATAATTTAAACAATTTGAAATCTACACTACCCCAGTATGCTTCCACATAAGCTTCAGCTTAGGTTTTCAGATTTTTTTTTTTCAGATATATTTCTATGTAAAACATTGATTCCACATTGTGGCCCCGCCCTACCCCCGGGGGTCATGATTTGAACAATTTAGAATCTACACTACCCCAGGATGCTTCCAAATAAGTTTCAGCTTCACTGGCTCAGTGGTTCTTGAGAAGAAGATTTTCAAAGATTTTTCCTATATATTTCTATGTAAAACTTTGATTCCCAATTGTGGCCCCGCCCTACCCCCGGGGGTCATGATTTGAACAATTTAGAATCTACACTACCTTAGAATGCTTCCACATAAGTTTCAGCTTTTCTGACCCAGTGGTTCTTGAGAAGAAGATTTTCTAAGATTTTTTTCTATATATTTCTATGTAAAACTTTGATTCCCCATTGTGGCCCCGCCCTACTCCCTGGGGTGTTGATTTGAAAAATTTTGAATCTACACTACCCCAGGATGCTTCCAAATAAGTTTCAGCTTTTCTGGCCCAGTGGTTCTTGAGAAGAAAATTTTCAAAGATTTTTCCTATATATTTCTATGTAAAACATTTATTCCCCATCGTGGCCCAGCCCTCCCCCCCAGGGGGTCATGATTTGAACAATTTAGAATCTACACTACGCTAAGATGCTTCCACATAAGTTTCAGCTTTTCTGGCCCAGTGGCTCTTGAGAAGAAGATTTTCAAAGATTTTTCCTTTATATTTATATGTAAAACTTTGATTTCCCATTGTGGCCCCGCCCTTCCCCCGGGGGGTCATGATTTGAACAATTTAGAATCTACACTACGCTAAGATGCTTCCACATAAGTTTCAGCTTTTCTGGCCCAGTGGTTCTTGAGAAGAAGATTTTCAAAGATTTTTCCTTTATATTTCTATGTAAAACTTTGATTCCCCATTGTGGCCCCGCCCTACCCCCGGGGGTCATAATTTGAACAATTTAGAATCTACACTACCCCAGGATGCTTCCACATAAGTTTCAGCTTCACTGGCCCAGTGGTTCTTGAGAAGAAGATTTTCAAAGATTTTTCCTTTATATTTCTATGTAAAACTTTGATTCCCCATTGTGGCCCCGCCCTACCCCCGGGGGTCATGATTTGTACAATTTAGAATCTACACTACCCCAGGATGCTTCCACATAAGTTTCAGCTTTACTGGCCCAGTGGTTCTTGAGAAGAAGATTTTTTAATGACCCAACCCTATTTTTGTCTTTTCTTGATTATCTCCCCTTGCGAGGGAATATGTCCCTTCATTTTAACAATTTAAATTCCCCTTCATCCAAGGATGCTTTGTACCAAGTTTGATTAAAATTGGCCCAGTGGTTCTTGAGAAGAAGTCGAAAATGTGAAAAGTTTACAGACGGACAGACAGACGGACAGCTGGACAGACGGACGGACGACGGACAAAATGTGATCAGAAAAGCTCACTTGAGCCTTCGGCTCAGGTGAGCTAAAAAACAATACCTCTCATTTCTCTCATCCCCTGATGTCAGGTGACAATTGACAAAACAAAATGAGGTTCCCTTGAAATAAAATGAGATTGCCACAGCTCCCTTGTTACCTGTAAGAAACATATTACCTGTATAAAACTTAGTTTTCAGACCAGCAGATATCATATATTCTGAATACCATTCTTATAAAGATAAAGATCTCAAAAGCAAGAGAGTGCTCTCTATAACACTCAAGCTTTTACTTTATATTGTATAAACAGGGAGAAAATGTTATTAAGCATTTCTTTAACATGCTTTGTGTTTTACTTGCACATTAAGAATTTATTACCTAATGTATTGGCTATGCCTGTCCTAACCGTGGAATGTTGAATTCTGTTGATATATTGACGCAGTTGTTTCTTCACTAGCACCACTAACCGAATCCCCCACAACGTGCAAACCTCCACCTAACATTACCAGGCCAATTATTATAGCCAATTATATCTCTCATATTGCTTTAAATATGCATTTCTAAATAAATAATCTTGTAGAATAAAGACTAAAATCATAAATACATTCTAAAAATAAGCAAGAAACATGCATAACAAGAAAACCATACACCTTTGATCTGTAAATAAACAGTGAGTGTTAAAACAATTCAATTTAAACTAGTGCTAATTGTAACGGGGACCGTTACAGATGTTCCCCAAACGCTCCCCAACTCCCTTTTATAGTCATATTCCCTGTAAGCGTAATTAAATAAGACAAAGTCTATGCATTTGAGACTTTAACAACGTTTACCCAAAAGTGTACTATGTTCATTCAAATTTTATCATTGCACACTTACACATGTTAATGCATGTGCGTAATGACCATATCATATTGTCTACACGATCTATATATTTTAATATGCTAAATATCAAAGTATTTAATCCAAAAGTATAAAAAAAAAAAACGCTCATTCAAGTGTTTTTTTATTTTACCCATTCCACGTGCACGCACGTGCATACATGAGTATGGTGACCATACCTTCTTGTAGAAGTCCATTACATCTATCTATGTTCTAAATCTCACCCCATTTGGTTGAAAACCAAGGGAGTTATAGCTATTTAAAGTTTCATGTATGCATGTATGCATGTGCATGGTAGCCATACCTTCTTGTAGAAGTCCATTATACATATCTATGCTCCAAATCCCATCTTGTTTGGTTGAAAATCAAGGGAGTTATAGCTGTTTTAAGTTTCAGCCAATCAGATTGCAGCGCAAGTACACGCACGTGTATGCATGTGCATGGTGACCATACCCTCTTGTAGAAGTCCATTTTATGTATCTATGTTCCAAAACCCATCCTGTTTGGTTGAAAACCAAGAGAGATATAGCTATTTGAAGTTTCAGCCAATCAGATTGCAGCGCACGTGCATACACGTGTTTTCATGATAATTGCTATATATCATGTTGTAGGATATTGTAATGCATGGCTATGTTGAAAATTTCAAAGGATTTCGTCAAAAAACAAGAAAGATATTGAGACTTTAGTTTCAGCCAATCAGAGCAAAGCGCACGTGCATGCGCGTGAGATCTTGCTATTTTGACCATGTCATCTTGTCTATACTACTAATATATCCTTACATTATGAGTTTCAAAGCATTTCATCAAAAAATAGAAAAGTTAAGTCAATATACCTTATATTGGCCATTTAACGTGTTGCACGTGCTCGCTCTTGCAAGCACGTGCGCGCAAAATGACCTTCGTTCGGCAAATCTACATAACATCCCTAGTGACCCTAAAAAGGTTTTACCTAAGTCGGATGTGTACTTTACAAGATCACTCAAAGACAAAATTTTCCCAGGAATAATAATAATAATAACTAGAAACTCTTGTTGCTACAGCAACAAAGAAGGTCTTCCGTTCTTCCTCTATTTATCTGCATGAATGAGCTTTTATCAATGTTAAAAAGGCATATAATATTTTAAATGATTTCAGGAAAACAAACGGCCTCTGGTGTAACTTACCAAGGTTCGATTCTTGACGTTACTTTAAACAATTATAGTCTGAATAACATTTACAAAAATCATTTTCATTTTCTTTTTATCATTTTCTGTGATGACCGGTAGTGACGGCGAACGCATATTACCCTATATCTGTTGCCCAATCTTCATGATTTATTTTATTTATTCATATAAGTTTAGAGTTTTGATCTGTTACAGTTTAGGAGATCTCGTAATCTTATCTTCTCATTTTGAGGAGAAGAAAACATGTGACCGGAAGTACATTTTTGAAAAGATATTTGAGGTTACTCTAGACATTTCATTCCGAATAACATGCCCTAAAATCATTTCAAATGCTCTTCTTACAAAAAATATTTATGGTTTAGTATGATACTCAATATATGCAGTTTTTCTCTCATAACCGTAAGTAGTCGTTTTTGTTTCCAGTGGTACTGACATATTTCAAAACTACAAATAAGATGCTATAATGTATTACTAAGAAAGATTCCATAAAAATTTGAAATTTTTGATTTATTTGTTCACTTCCTGTGACGACCGGAAGTGACGGTGGACAATGTTAACTCAAATAAATTTGACTACTCATCAAGATCTATCACTCCTCTAAGTTTGGTGTCTTAATCTTTTACCATTTATGAGATCTAGCCATGATAACTTCTCATTTTGAGAACAGGAAATCACGCAACCGGAAGTGAATTTTACAAAGATATTTGACGTTACTGTAGACAGTTGCAGTCTGATTAACATATCCAAAAATCATTACAAATACTTTATACATAAAATCATATTCATGGGAAAGAAAAATACTCAAATTATGTAATTTTTCTCTTATAACCGGAAGTTGTCGAGTTTGTTTCCGATGGGACTGATATATTTTGAAACTACAAATAAGATGCTATAATGTGATATAAAAACAGTTTCAAAAAAGAAAAGTCGAAATTTTCGATTTATTTAATCACTTCCAGTGACGACCGGAAGTGACGGAAGACAATCTTTTCCTAAATGATTTATCTTTCTCATCACGATTTACCACTTGATTAAGTTTGGTGTCTTAAACTCTTACCGTTTACGAGATCTAGCTATGATAACTTCTCATTTTTAGGACAGGAAATAACGCAACCGGAAGTGAATTTTACAAAGATATTTGACGTTACTGTAGACATTTGCAGTCTTAATAACATATCCAAAAATCATTACAAATACTTTATCTTTAAACAATATTTATGGGAAAGAAAAAATACTGAAAATATGCAGTTTTTCTATCATAACCGGAAGTTGTCGTTTTTGCTTCCGATGAGACTGATATATTTCGAAACTACAAATAAGATGTTGTTATCTTATGCAAAAAAAGTTTCAATAAAGAAAAGTTGAAATTTTCGATTTCTTTGATCACTTCCTGTGACGACCGGAAGTGACGGCGGACGATGTTAACCCAAATGGGCTTGCCTACTAATCAAGATCTATTACTTCTATAAGTTTGGTGTCTTAATCTTTTACCGTTTCTGAGATATGACTCAGACAAAATTATTTTGAAAAAAGCGGAAATCGGACATAACTGACGACCGGAAGTGAATTTTGAAAAAATGAAAAAAACGCCTGGGCGTATTTTCATTCTCTATCATCCCTGAAAATTTCAAGAAAATCCGTCCAGCCATCTCTGAGAAATCCGATTTACAAGAAAAGGGAAAAAAAAATAATAATAAAAAGAAAAAACAGTAGAATCACTATAAGGTCTTCCGTCTGAAACGGAAGACCTTAATAATAATAATAATAAGAAACAGAGTAAAAACAATATGTTCCCCAACTTCGTTTGGGGAACATAACAATGATGGTCGCCTAGCATTTTGAAAGTCTGCTTTTCAGTTATCTTCTATAATCTCCCCTTACCAGTTCTACGTCAGCCATGAGACAGGACTTAATGTGGTTTTTCACGAAGTTAACCCAGTCTTTTTCTGTCATGGCGCTCTCTTGTGTTCCAATGACATACATGTCATGTGGAATGACCCCCAGGACCTGTGGGTCACGAGGTTTACCTGTACCGTTACACCTTAACCAGCTGTTGATGGACGCCGTGGGTTGACTGTCACCTGATAAATTACATAATACAATTTTTTGTCAATGTTTGTAGAATACCAAACAAGTTCTATGTATTTCCTATCAGTTTGCATACACATAGGACATTTATAAAATTTATGCTTTGTTACATGCATGTAGATCCAATACTTCTGATTTTTCTGAAATCAAAGTACACCTTTGAGATCATCTTTTTACAAGTAAACACAGAAATCTTTCATTATCTATTTCAAATACATGTGTACTAAAAATGAACGTATCTTTGAGCAGTTTTTATTTTAGATGAGTTACCCATATTCCATGTCCCCACAAACACTGAAATCTGGTCAACGTCTACAATGGAGGAATGCATGTTCTTCATCTGCATGATCTGCTGACAGAAGTTCTCGCGTACGTGGACAGACGAGAAGACGACGGAGAACTTGGTCTGTTTTTTCTTCTTCTCTTCATCCAGTATCAGCATGTCCAGCTTTGTGTTGTCTTTGGTGCTCTTAACCAGCTGTGTTACTGAAGCAGAAAAAAAACTCAGTTCTGGTTTCAGACCTCTGTGTATAACTTTTAACTGCCACAAATCATGGGCAAAGAAAACCTTCATATAATATTTTCAAAGAGGCTTAGAGCACTTGGTGGTCTTGAATTTCAACATGCACCTCTTGTCACAAGCTAACTTTCAAGTATCATGTACCGGTAGTTTCTTAAGTTTATCAGCGTCAAAGTTATATGTCCAGACAAGAATTTTCATTTCTTATTCCACCCATTCAAGTTATACACAATACAAGGTTAAAATGACAGATTATGATCCAATAATTCACATTTCTCTTAAGATACATTTGTGGGTAGTATATTTACTCATACATTCAGTGCAAAAATGGTGGGGTGGAAGTTGGGTTTTTTTTTCAAACTCCTGGGAAGCACATTCTTAAATGGTCAATATAAAAGTTGCATTTCTCTTTTTTCAATTTACTGTTTTGATTTTGCACTCTCTTCATCCAGGAATTTACACTGAAAGCAGGAAATTAACATGGAAGTAATTGCTAAGCTCAGTTAATGAGACAGTTGTTGACAGGAAATTCACCAAATCAGATAATGAGATGACAAAGAGGATACTAAGTTCTGTCTATATTTAAAAACTTCCTTTTTTAATCAGCATTAAAGCTAAAACTCTATCATTCAAATAAAGCTACATTTGGCTCATATGGCTTGATACCCTGAAATACTTGTATACAAAGATGTTAAAAGAGGAATTGTCAGGAAAACCAATTAATGTCCTTTGCTTTGATGCTTAGAAAAAACTTTCATTCTGTTTAATTTTCCTTACTTCTCTCATGGGTGAACACATTGTTTGGGTCAAATGAATCCTTTGAGGGCTTGACAGCGTACAGTTTTCCATGAGGTATATCAACAGACAGAGTCATTTTGGACTGTTTTCCCGTTCGTATCAGCTTCACCTGAAAATCAAAATATAAAATCTGTATTTGCTTCTTTGTCCTGATATTAAAGAAGTTCACATAGAAATACCATATTTCTTCAATCTGAATATTTTATTGTTTCCTGGTATTATTTTTGCTTGCATTCCATGATGATTAAGTATACTGAATGAATTAAACCAAATGTCTAAAATAGGCTGTGCTTTCGCTGGAGAAAAGTTGCACATGGATTAGCATAATGATTTATACCTCAAAATCACTTCTAGGAATGTGTGGTTTACCGAGGGACGACAACAAGGGTGTGAAAGACTCCGGTAGTGGATCCGAATCCATCGACTCAAAGGGGAGAGAATCATAGAGAGAGACAGAAAAATAACGCAGAGTTTCCTGGACCTACAAAAACAATTCAGGTATTTATACATTTATATGCTTAACCATAGAAATCAACATCATGAATCCTGCTAATAATTGAAAAAAAAAGTTATCTTCAACAATTATTTAATAAATACAATATAAAACAAATCAATAAAATGCTGTAATATGAAGTATTTCAGAGTAAACTCCCTTCAAATCTTACATGAAATATAACACATTTTATATTCTTATGAATATAACTATACAGTACACTTACTTTATTGTCTAAAGCCATCAGACTGCTTCTACATTTGTTCATTTTTTCTAACATGCCTGGAATGGTTGATCCACCCTAAAAAAATAATTTTATTTTAATTTTTTGTTTTGAAATATATTTATTAAAACAGTAAATAGATAATACTGGGCAATCCCCATTGTATGACTAAAGCTAATTGCCAAGTTTGTTGAAAATTGTAATACACTGTATTATCCAACAGAGCTGGTGAAAGTGGGGTGTAAGGGGAGATAAATGATATCTGCGCATGCATTACAGTTGACATCTCCTCAAAAATTGTTGTCAGTTAATGATAAACTTTCATATTTATATATTCCTATCAAATTTTATGAAATCTTATAATGGTTTTACTAAAAGAAATTAAAATTAATTGATTGCCAGATTTTGATTTTATTTTTCTTGCTGTACATACACATATAAAGTTAAACTCAAATGGACTTTTATAAAAAAAAAATACAAACTCACCTTGTCCATCATAGACGGTGAGCGGGTCAATGGCGAGGTCTCAGGAACCGTCAACAGGTCATTTATTGTCCGAACCTTTCTCAGAAACTTGTCTAGTTCTCTTTGAAAAAAAATGTCTCCATTATTTCAACAATGTCACCACAAAAAATATCTCACTGGTGACCACCAGTCAAAGTCCTTATGTTATACTGTGACTTTTAATGGTAAGTTATAGTAAAAGAGTTACTGCAGTAATATTGACCCACCTCTGTAAGTTTTTTGCTGAGAATTCCAAAAGTTTTTGAAACTCTGGAAGATTTGTGTCCCCTGCCTTTACAGCTGTTACGTCAGTTTCTATCCCCCTCTCAAAGTAATCTCTCAAAACCTCCAAAAACTCTGGCTCTACACTGAAATAAAAGGTTATAAAGTCATGCCCAACATACTTCTTGAATTTTCCTTGTATAGTTTAACATTTGAATTATCTCATTAACTGCATTTCCAATCCACTGTCTATAAGTATTTATTAATTAATTGGCAACAATTTGTCATTATATTAATACATAATTTGATAAAAGAGTCAAATCATGTGATTGACTCTATCATAAATTCCAAAGAAAAACAGGAAACAGGAAAAAAATATCAGAACATATAATTATCAATGCACACCTCAGTCGACAAGCATACAGACAGTCAAAACTCGTTATCCTGAACTTGATGGGACTGAGGAAGAACTTCGAGATATCTGAGGATTCAAGATATTGAGGGTAAAATACTTAAAGAATTAGAGGTAGGGACTTCCAAATCACTTCGACATATCCATGGTATTCGAAATACACTGTATCAGTGTTTGAGATACCAAAGTTCAAATGCACTTACACAATAAAATAGTATGAATATTTACCTTGTTTTATCAAGTCTGGAGAAATTATTCAAGAGGGTGGTCTTGATTTTTTGTTCTTCTGGATTTGCATCAAGGCCATTGATGTTTACATTCTCCCGGACCATGGGAGGTGGGGGGACCACAGGGGGATTATCCTGGTAATCGTCATCATCTACATAAATAACGACCTAATTAATATCATTTATAAAATCATATTGTAGTGGACAATTAATAGGGAACTAGTTGTCTGAAATTTAGTCACTCAAAAAGAAAGAGAATCTGAGATCAAATGTTAAATAAATATAGAAAAAATGTAAGTACCGGTATATCAAAAAGGTCAATTAAAAATTTTACAGTTACACTGAAATATAAACATTTCAATCTTTTAATAAAAACTAATTAGAAATGATGGATAAATGTCAATTATAAGTGTACATGTATTTTGAAAGATTCAAGTTCAACATTCAAAGATCACCATTCCAAAATAGATCATGAATTTCAGAAAAGATGATTAGTATCACTGTATGTAGAATTAAATGTCCCTCCCCAAAATAAATGAAAGCTAATTTATAGTAAAGAGTGTAGAAGATTCTGCATATCATAATGAATATAAGCTAGTGCAGTTTCCCATAACAATCTACCCAAATTTTAACATCCCTCAAAATCATTGAACTTCTAGCAATCTCCCCATCCCCTTGGGATGCTTTAATCTGACAGCATATTTTTCATTTACAAATATGACATTGCAACTTTTGCAAATAGATTTGCTCCCCCTTCAGTTTTGTTTCAGACCTTTCATCCCCTAGGTTTCCATTACTTCATATCTTTACAAAAAAAAAACATTATATGCAAGCAACCCCAAACTGTCCAAAGTCTCTGGCAGCACAACAAACCAAAGTGATCAGTGAAGGAAACAGAGAGAAAAAGGTCTTACATTGATTCAGATGCAACAAAAACAAAGAAATGAGTTAGAGAGTATATAGAGAGTGTGTGAACAGCTGATATTAGGAAGTGCTGTGTCACCTCGCAGTAATGAAAACCCGGTAAATTCGTTAGACAATAGTGGAGATTCTTCATCCGAATAATTCCATACAGTAGAGCTTTCTGGATCTATATGGATTAGTTAATAAAGAGTAAAGAAAAAAAATATAAGTTTTGTTAATCTGCATACAGTCTTGGAACTTTGAAATACTTAACATTCATGAGAGTATAGCTAGTACAAATTAATAATATCAATCTGGAAAAGCTAGTACTTATTTATCATGTTTATGTTATTATAAATTTGTATGGCATTTTATGTTGAAAAAATGACTAGACTGGTCCAACCACACTGTTACAATATGCATACTTCAAATACTGTCCTATATTCACAACAATATATTAACAAGAGATGTTTGTGAAACACTTATGCCTCCCTCACTGTGGAAATACATGCAAAGAAAATGAATGGAAACTGCAAACAAATGGAATTTTTCTAAGTCCAAGGGGCATAACTCCATCGTATCCAAAGCAAAATTTGACCTAGTTATTCTTATGATAAAGCTGTATACTAAATTTTATTTAAGTATGTGCAACTGCTGTAGAGAAAATGAAAGGAAACTTGGTGGACCAACAGACAGACTGACCGACAGAGAGCAGCAAAGCAACATGCCCTCCCTTCTTTGAAGGGGGGCATATCAATGAATTCTAACATTGCACAAGAGTTTTAAATTGTTAAATTGGGGGTTGGGGAGTTGGGGGGGGGGGAGGGGGTTAGGACCTACCTGAGTCTACCTCTTCTCCTTTGTCGGGAGGGACAGGGAATTTCAGACCAAATGCTAATCCATTCTTATCTCCCCTTTTTATGTAGTCTGCCACCAGGGAGTTAAGATCAGGGTACTTGGGTTCAGGAGCGCCACCTTCTGCCTGAAGGATAAAAGGAAATTACTCCAAATTACATTTATTTACTTACACAAGCAGGTTGCATACCACTATATATATTTTTTTCTAATCATCAGATTACCTAAATTGTGCAAATATAAGCTACAAATTCAAATGAATTTCTTTAAAGGTTTTTTATTTAATTTTTTTTCCCAATTCCTTCTAAATAATTTTGTTCAAAATACTCAGCAAATTAATTCTCAGCAAAGTCAAGCATGCTTAAATGATATTTGCTAGGCCTGACTTCCCCCTCAAACAAACCAAACCTATATCTTGTGAAAACAGGAAGCCTATGTTCAATTTTTATTGCACCAAATAAAATCCTTTCTGTATCTTTAGGAACACCTTTTTTGTGGGTAGTGGAATTAGAAATTAATTGACACAAGTCATGTGCTGACAGTTCTTAAACTATTAATATACGTTTGTACATAAAAATCGCCACTGTTTACCTACTCAAACATTGAAACAAAGTAGAGGACATTGTATTGTATGCTGTAAACAGGAAATTTTTGTTCCTTTAAATTTTTGATTTTAGCATTTTAATGATAATTGTAATTGAAATCATTCCTTTAGAATGAAATTTAGATAAACCTCTACTGGATATTACATGAGATGAATTTCCCCCATCATTTACCTGGATGGACAGCTTGTTGTCATGTCCCGGGAGAACTCTGTACTGGTGCACCCTTGACTGGTACCTATCTCAAGAGAAATCAATAATGTTAGAAGGAATTTTCTCAAGAACTGCATGAACACGTTGAATTGTAGAAATCTGAGGCAAACATTTGTATTTTATTCATATTCTAAAATAGTTGCTGAGAGATGAGCTTTTTTTTTTAATTTGCAAGTAAAATATAGTGAAAACTGTCTAATCCGACACCTGTGCAATCCATCACACTGAATTGTGCATATTTTACTATTTTCCATGTTTCTTTACACTGTGTGATCTGAAACCCTGTCTTTTCCGACACAAAATCTGTCTCCCATTATATGTTGGATTAGACAGGTTTCACTGTACTTGTTCTGATGACAATGACAGTCAAACCTAGAAGTCTAGAACATGGTGGCACAGTCATACTGACTGATGTGTCTGATGTACTAAAGTTCAATAGTAAATTGAAAATGTCATTAGCACACTTGTTGTCTTAAGTTTTGGAAACATACAGTGCACATGCTTTATTTTTTACAAATAAGTAATAATATTTCACCTTGAAATTTTGTGAAATGGTTCAGTTAACAAATTATCCTTAAGCCATTACTTAATTATACCTTAATTAACACTACACCCCCTTCCCCTCCCAACTTTTATTCCTCAATTATACTATGGCATAAACCAGTCTATAAAACAAGGAATGCCTTCACTGATCTATCACTGGTAAATTGAGAGTTATATTGATGAAGACAGTTGATTAGCAGTAGACAACAGTATTTGTCTATTCAATGAACCCACTCAATACATTAACACTGTAAACTACGTAGATATGATAGAATTATAAAATTACTGATCTTGTCAGAGTTAAGCTATTATAGAACAAATTACTTATTATAACACGTATAAACACACTGTGCACTTTTGTTTGTTTCTAGTTCAAATGTTAATTATGATCTATTTTTTATAGTGCACTTTTGCACACTTCAAAACTTGACATTTCGATGTAAAACAAATATGACTAGTACATATAAGTAAAAAAAAGCTATAAATCATATATCCTATATACAATTTAGTAAATATGTATTTTCCTGTAACCTATTTTACAACCTTACAATTAAGTATGTTTTATAGCAAATGAATTGAAATGATTATCAAAATTAAGATATGGTTTTTATATTTAAAAAAAAATTAGTTTCTATATCTAAAAATTTTAGTTCTGTGGAATCAATGATTTTTTGTCAACTTTTGGTTTCTATGGATATATGAGGAGTATTGTTTTAAATATAATTATAGCACTAAAATTTATAAATAAGAGAACCATTCATTACAAACTCATGCCCTGTTCACAAAGAGAGTTTAATTAAGAAATATTTAAGGTATCATTTTAAAACATCTATCGGGCTATAAATACGGGTTGGTCACGAGATTAAATTCCATAAATCCCCGAAGGGCTTTAAGATGAATTCAATCTTGTACCAATTAACCCGTATTTATAGCCCGATAGATGTTTTAAAATGATACCTTATTACTTATATTTACATTTGTGACTTACTTACACTTTAAATTTGCCTGATTGTGACTTTTAACGTTTGAAATGCATTATTTTTCAAACCCAACGGGATGTATGTAATCCACTGAACGCGCGTGACGTCACTGACACCTATCCATACGAACATCTATGACCTCTTGACCCCGTACCGGTATTTATGCAGTTATAGATACGCATTGCTTCCAGTAGTGTTATATAGAGGAAAACATTTGCAAATGTAAATATTTTAAATTAAACTTAAGTTACTGTGAATTAAATTTGAACCATGTTAACATGGAGCATTTAATGTGAATTAGTTTAATTCAAATTATTAATTTACAGCACATCAAATTACTTCACATTAGCTTGGTGGAAACATTAAGCTAAGCTAATATTTGAAGTAAATTTTGATGCATGCATAAGGTCAGAATTAAGTCACAGCCACATGTCGGTGGTTTGATTTAGGTATCTGTACTATTTCTGGTTGAAAAATAAAGGAAAATTATGTTAATCACTAAAATGTACACAGTCAATATGATTGTAATGTCGAATGGATCTACTCTGCATTTACATGACATGATTTACAAAAGACGTCATAATAGCATTATTGCAGTAATAAATTGTTTAATTTGCATTAGTTTACTTTGCTTTACCTGTCATGTGAAAGCACTTTAATTCACATTATTTTAATTTTTTATTTAACTTTGCATTAATTTACTGTGAATAAACTCTCCGTGTGAACAGGGCATCAAAAGTGAAGGTTACAATGTCAATACAACTTCATAAAGTCATCAGCTGACCAGATATTTGGGTTTTTTTCTTCAAAAAAAAAAAGAACCAAGCTAAATATTATGGGTTATTTACCCTCTTATCAGGCCACAACATGTAAAACAGCTGTTTCTACATCAGCAGATCTTGATACAGCAATGCTCAAACATACTCGCTTACTTATCTCCCATTCTACATCTGCCCCTAGAGATATTTATCTGACTAAAAGCTCCAAGGGAGACAACTTCACACAAAGATGAACACAATCTGCGATTATCTCCCTTGTACTTTCCATTTCTCCCATGAAATCACAGACATTTATTGATCCAAAAACTGTTTTGTCTGACAAAGAGGATGGTAGAGTCAGAGATAGCCGATTTTGATATGAAAATTTGTGAAAATATCAGAGTTAATAAGTGATAACCACATAGGCAGATCTTAATAACATCTATCAAAACAGACAGAGGGAAAAAGCTTTAAACCACCTCAAAACAACACCTGGCTGCCTCTATTTCATTTAAACAACAAATGATTTAATTCTAAAACATTAAAAATTACACGATTTCATCAATGATACAGACAGTGGATTATAAGGAAATCTACATCTGAACTTTGAAAAAAACTTTACTTCAGATATTTTTTTAAATTTTCTTTACAGATTTTTATGATAGATACCAACTGAATGGTTCTCTCAATCAACAAAAAGTTTGGAGGCCAGACTTTTAAAGTCAACTTTCAAGTTCCCTGGTTTAGTTTTTTTTTTAAGTTCATTACAAAATAATTAATCATAGATACACCATAATGATCTCCAAACTGACTTATCTTTAATTCTAGACTTTCCAAGACAAGTGTATATGATACATTTCAACAGTTCCTCAGTAAAACCACCTCAAAGAACCTAACACTGATCTCCAGGTGACAGATGGGATATTTTTTGACTTGGGGAAGCCACTCCTATCAGGTTCCAGGCTTCTGACTTTGATCACAGAAAGTTAATCCTTACAAAAACTATTCCAAGCCAATACACCAGAAGCTGAAAACTATCGTTCTTCATAAAGCTTATTCTTTTTCTACACTTTTCTTCACAGTTGCAACTGGTGAATTAAAAAATTAAGAAGTTATGTAAATCCCACTGTTTTAATTTTACAAATTATTTCCAAGTCTATATTTACTATATTTGCTAGGGAAACCCACTGTTCATTATGTCTGGCATGTTTATATTTACTATACTATTTGGAAGGTGCCATGTTTCAAGGTTGATGGGATACACATTTGCCACCCCCCCCCCCCCCCTCTCCAGCCCTCCAAAAAGAACTACATCTTGAAATTATTGCTTATCAATAAATCATAAATGATGCTGACTTAATATAATATTAAATATTTATTTATTACATGTAATTAAGCTAAAGGAACAAATATATAAATTTCTGGAATATGTAATCTATGTATAGAAAAATTACTTGAGTAGGCTGTATTCAGGGAAACAAATTAATTGTAATTTAAAGCTTTAGACCATAATTAAATAAAAATGTCAAGTAGTATAAATTCCCCTTTACCACACAGTCAGAGAAGTGTGTGTTGATTACTATGGTAAATTAGCAGTCACTGAGTACAAGTATCTGATACCGAGGTGAGTAACGAAGGCATGCAAACACTTAAACTGCCATGTACTATCAAAGTCGACCAAAATCTTACATAAAACCTAGAAATATGTCCATAGCATATGAATGCCCCACCGAGTGTAATGCAACATGAAAATTTGTATTAGTGTATGATGAGAATATCTTGAATAGTTTCTTTAAAATTGAAATAGAAATATAAACCAATGGATATAGATGATAAATTCTCACAAAATTATGTATTATAAGGTGCAAAAGCTTACAAAAAATATCTTGAATGGTTTTTTTTTTTTAAACTAAGCAAGATGCTAATTAAAGACAAGTGAAGTCAATGTCACAGGTAAATGCAAGGTCAAAAGTTTTTGATGCAGTTGAATAGCTCTCGCTAATATATGTATCAGCATATTAAGTTTGATAAAATATCTTGTATGGTTTCTTTAAAACTGAGCTAAACACTAATGTAAGAAAACTGAGGTCAAGGTGAAAGGAAAAGTCAAGGTCAAAAAATGTTGATGCACTTGAATAGCTCTCATCAGTATGTATCAGCATATGAAGTCTTTAATGATGTCTGTTGATCTCATCAATATCTATCAGCATACATTAGAAAGTTTTATAGAAATATCTTGAATAGTTTCTTTGAAACTGAGCTTGACGTAAATGAAAATGAGAAGGAAGGACAGAGACAGACATGACAAATTCTATATGCCGCGACCATTTTCATGGCAGGGCATAAAAATGTTGTTGAAGTTGAAAAACTCTCATTTATTTAGTATGTATCAACAGTTTGATAACACTATCCTGAATGGTTTCTTTAAAACTGAGCTAAACACAAAAAAAGGAAAGGTCAAGGTAAAATAATGCTGATGCAGTTGAATAGCTCTAAGTATCACTATGTATCCAAACACATTTTTATGAGAGCCTTTCCAAAAAGCTCTTTGTTGTAATCTTTGACTATTTACGTGTGCCAATCCTAGCCCAAGGGACTTTATATAGAATTTAACCTTACTTTTTCATTGCACAGCACATGCTAAGATGACTACTGCCTTGCTAATCATACACATCAGTTTCATCTTTCATTGCCCAGTGGTCCTTGAGAATATTTTTAAACAAATTTTCCTTACACATGCATGTTCCATTTAGTAAAATTTTTAACCCCCTATTATGGTCCTATTACCCAACCCACTGGAGCCTAGACTTGAACAATTTAGAATCTACCATACATCAGAAAGCTTACATATGATCATTTCATCTTTTCTTGCACAGTGGTTGAGAAAAAGATTTTTTTTCTAACATAATCCCCCAAAAAATCTTTGATTCCCTACTGTGGTCCATTCTATACCCTTAGGGACCATGATTTGAACAATTTTGTTAACAATGGCCCAGTTCTCAAGATGAAGTCAAAAATAAGAAAAATTTACAGGTAGACAGACAGATGGACAGACATGGGACAACAAGTGATCAGAAATGCAGCTTACTTGAACCACAGGCCTTTAGATCGCTTAGAAAAAAAAATTGAGTTGTTGAAAAAAAAAATAAAGGTATGGAACTCTTTTCATGGGGTACCTACTTTCACCAATAAAATTCTTTTAAATCAAATGCTTTACAATTTTACTTTCTATCCATATCTATTCAAATATAAACAATCTTCATTACTACCAAAGTTCATTCCGTAATTCCTTATACTTCTCGAGATATTCTGAAATCAATTCCCAAATTGACAATAATTTTTTTACTTGACGTCAGCTTGGGCCTTCACTAATTGTAAAGCGGGAACGATGGGACAAATTTTCCCCGGAATTTATTCTAAACTCAATGAATATTTGCTCATTTGCATTCAAGCTTTACAAGGTTTTTCTTTAATTTGATCATATGGCGTAAGTAAGTCATAAACAACATTTTAGCGGTCTAATTGTTTTGAAAATCGGAAGGTATATAATGCATTCCGGGAAAAATTCGTTCTACCATGGCTTCATTCACATTTATAATCAACATGGCGGTAGTTGTTGATGTAGACGTTTTCAAATTAATTTTTCGCGAAAGGAATATTATTACGGATTTAACATTACAATCTGGAGTAAGAAATCAACTTTAAATTGTTGAAAGATATTGCGAATACTATGCAACTCTTCGCCGCACTTCAAACACCATCTGTTTACATGTGAAAGGCCAGGGGCCCAAGCTAATGTCGAGTAAAAGAAAGTAGGTCATTTTTGAAATTGATTTCAGAATATCTCAAGAAATATACGGAATTTCGGAATGAGCTTTGGTAGAATTGAAGAATGTTTAACTATGAATAGATTTGAATAAAAAGTAGAATTTTAGAGCATACGAATAAAAAATATTTTATTAACGAAATTAGGTACCCAGTGTAAGAGTTCAGTACCTTTATTTTTTTTTACACACACAATTTTTTTTAAGCGATCCAAAGGCCTGTGCTTGAACTTACAGCTTAGGTAAAATAAAAACTGAACCGATCCAAGTCTGGCATCAGATGAGTATTCAGAATGGCTGATTTATCGAGATGCTAAATGTATCAAATGTAAAATTATGAAATTCAAACAATTATTCTTTTGTTATACTATATGTACTACTCACAGTAGACATAAGACATATGCCCCCTGCAGGGTTTCACTGTCCCGGACGAGAAAACTCCCATCCTCCCCGGCAGATAGGAGCAGTTCTTCTGCCCGAAGTCGAGAAATTCCACGGTGAAAGTAGTTACCCGACATTTTGGTATGAATCTGTCGTACACTTGGTTTGCTGGCCCGAGACCACCTTCAAAAGAATCAAAACAAAACCGTTATAACTTACTGCTATATTATCTGTTTATCAGTTGAATACCCCCAAAATTCCTGTGTCACAAGATAATTCATAAAGGTACCATTTTTTTGATAATCGTACAAAAAAATGTTTATTAATTTACTTTTCTAATAACATACAGGAAGTTATGTGTGCAATGCAGTCACTAAGTGTATAAGTGACAATGCTGAACACATGCAGTACTGTATGAAACATAAGTCACAAACCATGAACTTAAGTAGTACAAGTACTGTGAAAGCTTTACGTATGTATATTCAATATTTATTTTTTCTGGTGAAAAATATTTGGATTCAAATGTTTCAGACGTCTTCTAGCTATTATGTTTATTTGAAAATGAATGAGTATGTAGATATAAAATTTTGACAACAGAATCTTACAAGTGCATGTTAACATAGATAAAACACAACCTTGACAAAAACCCCATAGATTAGAGCTTAATTTACAGCTTGAAGCCTTAAGGCCTTGATGAATTTTTAACTCTATCCCAATCTCAGTGTGATAGCCTGTTTTTTATTGGAGCCTTGAGCCATGAGATAGACACCTTCAATTATAACTTATAGAACCTGGTGTATCATAATTAAAAGTCTCATCAGATTTAAACAAGAAATCAAGAAGATGAAAAACCACATTACATTTGTTGTTTAAGGTAAATAGATGTAGTCAGTATGGGGGATTTATCAGATTTATATAGATACTGAACATCTACATCTGTTTGCCATCAGGGGGGCAGGGAGCCCTTTATACCTAACACTGGAGATCCTAATCGATAAAAAATATCTCACTTCCTCCTTTACCTCCATACAAAACAATAGTATTCACTGATAGCTGACAAGATACCCTACTTTATACAGGTGCCATCAATGAATAATGCATAATTGATACAAAGTGCATATATAAATACATATATTATATTTATAAAAGATGCACATTATGACATATATATGATACTCAGTATTATAAACAAATACACACTTGTACACTCTTTAAAAACAAAATCAAAACTGTATAAGTGTAACATTAGATGAAGATTATAGCAGGTTCAATATGTGTTAGCCTTACTGACAATATACAATAGGAAATATCTGAGGTGAAAACGATGAACAACAGATTGTGATTGAAGTTTCTCCTCGGATATACAACCAGAAGTCTCTGTCGAGACTGTAGCTCTACTGGTTTATACTTAAACCAAAGGAAGAGAAAAGTAGCAGTTGCAACTTGAAACTTTAAAACAGCAATAAATAGAAAAATGATCCTTGCCACTCATCAAAGCAAAAACTGATGCAGAGATTTATGTATCTTAGTGTATCCTACTTGTGTGCCAAGTTATATTGAAATCAGACCAAAACTGTAGGAGGAGTAGCATTTTGAAAGAATTTTTAAGAAATTTTAATTTTTGGCAACCATGGCAAGACCATTCATCGAAATCAAAAACCGATGCACAGAATTATGTATCTTAGTGTAGTCTACTTATGTTCCAAGTTATATTGAAATCAGACCAAAACTGTAGGATGAGTAGCATTTTGAAAGAATTTCACAGAAATTTCTATTTTTAGTAACCATGGCATCATCGTTCATCGAAATCAAAAACCGATGCACATAATTATGTATCTTAGTGTAGTCTACTTGTGTGCCAAGTTATACTGAAATCGGACCAAAACTGTAGGAGGAGTAGCATTTTGAAAGAATTTCAAAGAAATTTCTATTTTTAGTAACCATGGCAACACCGTTCATCGAAATCAAAAACAGATGCACAGAATTATGTATCTTAGTGTAGTCTACTTGTGTGCCAAGTTATATTGAAATCGAAGCAAATCTGTAGGAGGAGTAGCATTTTGAAAAATTGTTTACAGACAGACAGACAGACAGCTGGATGGAGAGACAGATGGACGGACGCCGGACGCATTACTATTGCATAAGCTCTTCTGGTCTCTGACCAGTAGAGCTAAAAACTAAACTTCACATTAAATCTTTTTTACAATTAATTGATTTCTTTCTCCTCAAGATGTTTTAATTTACTGCTACAGTATTAAGAAAATGGTCATAAAATACAGGTTTGTGGCAATCTCTTGGAGAACTTCTTTATGTCATTTGTGCCTGTATTTTTCAAAGCTATGAAAAGACACTAAAACGGGCACTGAATGTTGCAAGAAGTTTTGATAGTGGTATTTGAAACACTGTCTTAATGCTATGAATGTTAAGTACATGCATGTACAGTATTAAAAATTTTCATTTTCTAAAATTATTTTCATCTACTCAATAACCTTACTTTTCCAGAGAAACTTAAACCATGGCTTTCATCTCCAATGATTTTAAATATCATACCATCCAGAAATTCATAAAATAGTTATACATGTATTTTCTTTTAACTCTAAAAATACGTTAACTGCATGACTACTTCATTACATTTAAATTTTTATTTAGAAAGAGCATTTGCTGTATAGTGATCTTGACCTCTGATATATGGCCTTGGAAGTTAAAGTGAATTATGATTTCCTACCATAGCAATTTTCCCACTAGTGCTAATAAAAAGGATCGATAAATAAACACAATTTAAAAAAAATTTTAAAAAAAAAGAAAAGGAAACTAATTTTCATTACTTAATACATTTATAGGCTTTCATTGCATTCCTGTACAAGATAAACCTTATTATATTGCCTGTATCATAGAATGTTCTTGATTTCTACACACTAAAAATGGTGTTTTTCACCTCGTTTTAATTACTTTTTATAAAGTCATGCATTTTGGTACAACTGCCATATCCTCTCAATTAGCTTTTCATTGGCATTGGGAATGGACCAAAATTTAAACCACTTTGGAATTAATTAACAACACTCACCATTCAAAATTCACCTCTTACTTCTTTCAATATGAGTACATTTTTAAATAAAATTGTGGCCATATAACTTTTTAAAACTACATATTGAAGCATGCACGTATACCTGTTTTCCCAAGGCCAAAAACTGTCTGTAAATCCACACAAAAACATTGCAATTAAAATCTCAGAATTCAGAGGCTAAAACAAAAACTGAAACAGTTACATGATTTTCAGTAGCTTCCTTCCCCATTGTCTCAAATTCTGTGACATTCCTACATCAGTCATAATAAAACATGACACTCGATGGTGATGAATCTATGGTGCTAAAACAATTTTCACTTTTTTCCTTGATGCTGTGACCTTTGTTATCAGCTGAGATAGACAGACAAACATTAAGTATCCAAAGGAATATTACACCAGTAATCAGGAGCCGAGTCGACATCCAGGATAAAGATCCAATAAAACACACTTCCAGACTTTAACACTTGCACTCTTGTGTGTGTCACGTATTCTGGGCTGCTAGTTAGTTCCAGAATTCACTGCAGGGCCCAGGGACCCAGGCCAATAAACTTCCAACTCCGTTAGCATCAAAATGTCAAAACCTCGAATCAGTATGGCACACATTGGTTGGAGTATTATCTCTCCCCAAAACAAGGTGTAGAGAGCAATTTAATAATCCTTCTGGTCTAATGACAAATACTTGTTTATTTAACACTGAAATTTTACAGAATATGGCCTTAAAAGCTTTAAGCCACTGATCCAAGAAAGCAATTGGGAGACAGAATAATTAAGAAACAGAAAATGCTAATCGCCTTTTTCCCCATTGATGTGTGAAATTTCATGGATTGTCCAGCCCACTCCGAATTTCTAAGTGAACCTCTTTTAAAAACAAATCATTCTATAGCTTCGGGAAGGCATGTCATTGTAACAAATTATTCTCCATGCCCAGGATGCAGTACGTGCAATCAGTTTCCAAGTCTGAATTCTTTGAAGCTCGCAGCAAGGCAAGGATGAAATTGAGAATGATTTGCTAGAATTAATGTTTGCTAAGCATTAAATCAATCCAAATGATTTCTCAGCTTGTGTTTATTGTAATAAACCATGACTAAACCTGCTAAGAGAATTTAGCCTTCATAGAAAATCTGATTTACTGGCAGGGGAAGAATAAAATAACTCTGGTTTATCATTAGCAATTAAGATAACAGACACCGTTTACTATCTTTTGATGTATATTTCATCTGTAAAAAAAAGTTTATGTAAATTTAAATAATTTTTTGGTATTTCAGTTTCCTTTCCTTACCCTCATAATTAACTGACATTAGAAAGGGGTTTATAAAATTTGAATTGCTAATTATAACATGTCTGTAAACGTTTGTATTCTGGTAGCTTCGACAGTATGTTTGTTCATCTGACAAGGATCAGGGATGTCTGATAATCTAAAACAAATCACCTGGATATTTTTTGTTTGGTCAGTTGTAATGGGCTAAACAGTCAGTAAATTCTTCTGCTATACTTGAATGTTTACATAAACACCAGCCAAATGTCTTATATTCTTTTGAAGAAAATCATTCAAGTATATTAATGCAGTTAAAATAATATATAACAAAGAATAAAATTTTTAGATCTTAATTTTTATGGATCTATAGAAAGTATATTAAGTGGTCATTTAGAAGTTTTAACACATTTAACTGAGCCTATAAATAGGTCTTCTGAAATAATTGGATGACAGCTAGCTGATAAAAGACTCAGTATCATAGTGAATCAGACATACCGAATAAGTGGTAATTTTAGCGACAAACAAATTTAGCGATTTGTCCTTTATTTTTAGCGAGATGTTATTTTAGTGATTTTTAAAATGCACACTAAAGAATGAAGCTATAACAAATAAAATGCAATCAATTTCTAGTGATATTCAATTTTAGCTATCTCGGCACTCTTGCTAATAATGTCAAAATTAAATCCTAACTAAAATTTCTGCTTATACGGTATGTCATCAAAGAACATTATAAATCAAAAGGGAAGTAACTAATACCTCTAAGGGAAGAAAATTGGAATGAGGATGTTGAGAAAGCTCTCCTTCTACAAAAATACATGTACGTAATACTTTATTTACATGTAAAACGTTACACTGCACTGATCATATGATTATTTTTCATTGATTGGAGGATGTGGGTGGGGGTTGGGGATGTCGGAACACCCTCATCCTTAGATTCCTTCCATTAATGCTACCCCCCCCCCCCACCCCCCACCCCTCATTGTCACTGTAATTCAGTCATTGAGTGTGATCAATGGAGAGTACCCTTACTTTAATCTCCTGAAGGAAATTGATGAAACACATACTTACAGTAATTTTGAATCTGACTGTGTGTGTGATATTGTGATTCAGTGCAACAATTTTTTTTAAAAGTATACTTCACATTTTCACAAGTCATATTAAAATATCTATAGGAAGGTATTATTCTGTGTAATAATTCAGATCAAGCCTCTTCCTCTTTACACTTTGGGGAAGATGAAATTAATCAGAAGCTGGCAGTGACACTGGGGGTTTTATTTTTCATACAACTTCCTTAAAGTTTTCCAGACAGATGTTAGATAGATTTACAGAAAAACATTTGTCAATCATCAATACAAACTCCTTCCTAATTTTCCTCAGCTAGTAAACATATCAACCATCATGAAAACATGTCCAAAGAAACAGGCACCACATGGGAGTCTGTCAAATTCATACAAAGAACAACCTGATCAAGCCCGGCTGGCAATGGTCAGCCAAAAAAACAAAATCTCTGACAAGATCATAGGTCTTGATAGTACAAGGTTATCAAAAATAATTAAACATGATTTTATCTATACTGGTATTCTTTATTTAATGAGAAAAATATTTTGACTTCCATGCACTAATTAGGAGTATAATATGCGACATTTACATCCACTGCAATCGAATCATTACAATTTGTTTTTTTGTTTTTTTTTTTTTTTTTTTTTTTTTTTTTGGGGGGGGGGGGGGGTATGAATAACTTAAAATTCATACATTCAGGGAGTTATAATTTTCAAAGTGAATTTTTTACTTCAAAAGATTTCACCTGTATTGTAATGTTCCTTTAGGTAGCAAGCTTATGGGTTCATGACCTTGTACCCATGAAATTACTTAAAAGTACCCCCCCCCCCCCCAACAGACAACACACACATCCTCCAATATAAGAATTCTGCAGACCAAATGTGCAGCTGCATTATGATGTTTATTATGTTTGCACTAATTCATGTGATACTTAATCTCCTATTAATATATTGACTACTCAGGTCATAATATGTACTGAGTCTTGATCACTGTAATTAATAAACAATGTAATATTGGGAGATCTAATAATATCTTCTTGTCAGAGTGAAATTTCTTGCACAATCAAGGCACTGAATGGATTACTATCTACCACCATACCAGAGAATAATATCAAGAGGGTGTAATAACCTTATTATTTCATAATTTTATGCATAAAACAAGAAAAATTACATTTTCAATCTTTGAAATTGATATATTTTATTCTACATAAATTTAATTTGTACTGATTCAGAAAATATTCTCTTACTTTCGTGAAGCTTGGAGATTTGGAGAGCGTGCCTTCCCCTTCGAAGCAGCTCCAGCAAAAACAGGGTAAAACATTTCTGACTGTCAAATAATAATCCTCTCAAGACTAATACAGCATATAGTACATGTATATCCCAATAGATGTTCACTGCAGGTGTCTGGTGGTTAATCACAAACAAATATTAATGACACCTCAGGCTGATAATTGTAGGAAGGGATGACACGAAAATTCCCAGAACCTATTTCTGAATACTTAAAGTGAGTATCACTCAAAAATAAAGTAAGGTCACCAACATTCCAGCATCTTTTACTTCAGGGCACACATTTCCTCTCCTCCATGTGTGTGTATGTATTTATTGTGGTCGATGACAAATATGTATGAAGGGCCAGAGTCTAAGTGTGTCTTGATATTACATCTATATGTACAATTTTCCTTCCCGTTTAATCAAGTCAAACAGGAAATAAAATGGAGATTAAGAACTCAGAAATGTGTCATTCAATAATATACGCATCACTTGAATCTGTATTTATTGTATTGGACAAGCCTGGTCAGCTTTTTTTTAAACAGGAAATTTTTGGCTACATATATGTACATGTATTTAGAATTATTATATTGTAAAATGTTTGTACTACATAAATACACGTACTGGTAACTGATTTTCAAAATAAAGTAAAGGTTGCTGTTCTATTATCCTTCTTCCCCTTTTTATACTCTAGCTTATCTGGCCTTTAATGCCAACCCAGCCCATCGACTATTGACAAGACTGTAAAAAATCACTACATGATAGTGTCAAAAACAGCATCATTTTATCTATTTCACTAAATGTTCACTGCGATCTTGGGTATAGCTAACACATATTTGCAGATCCATATTTTGTGTTAAGTTTCTAAGAGTTACATCCCTTTAGCTGTTTAACTATACGTCTTTAAACAAGATATAATTATACATTTATTGTACAAATAAACACAGTTTATTCAGATTTTCCTTAAGAATACTTAATTTTTTTCCTTTCATAATGAAGATGTTTACAGCAAATGTTTGCCACAGAAAATGAATTTTTAATTCAAACTCATGACTGACAGGTCTTGGGTTATATTAAAACAATTGACCTGATGAAGCAAGTGATTTTATGAGGATGCTATATAAATTTTACAATTTGTAGCTTATAAGTATTTAGATCCTAAAAATTTTTTCAAGTATTTTCCCTGTACATACCACTTTAATACTTTGAGTCATTTTTTGGGCTTCACCTCTGCTTTAGACCATATTTAACCAACATTCATCTGCACTACATGAGGTCTGCTTGTATATTGAGAGTTGATGATGAAACCAAATGATTCTTAATTTTGTTCTCTCGCATGAAATATAATATGCATTCAACTTTGAATTGACGTTATTTTAAACAATTATTTGAAAGTTATTGCATAAAACATTATATAAATATTGCATGTAGTTGAGTGTAACATTGAAAATTTTCACCCCAAGAAAACCATTGTCAACTGAGGCGCAGCCGAGGTTGACAATGGTTTTCGAGGGGTGAAAATTTTCAATGTTACACTCAACTACATGCAATATTTATTATATTATACTGAATGTTTTATACAAATACCTATATTACAGTGAACCGTGCGCGCATTAATTCCGCGCAGTCGCTATTTTTTTGTAATACCACCCGTCGTCAAGCAATGTTGACTGTTGCTACCCAGGAGGGCGTGGCTTCATTATTCAGCGGGTAGTAGTGTTTTTTATCAAATGTTTCTCGACGAATCAGATTCAAGTAATTTACATGAAAGTATAATATCATAAATTAACAAGAGATATTATATTGTTTAACTTAAGAAAATGTCTATCTTGGCATTTACAAAAAGGGAAATTACTCAATTTTCCTTTTCAACTTGGAAAAATAGAATATCGAGTTATTTCCCTTTTCAATATGTCAAAGAATTTTATTAATGTGGCAGTTTTTGACCTGATGCCACAGTGCTTGAGAAACTTATTTTTTTGACCTAAGAAGGAAGTTCCTTATCATTCTCATAATGTCACAGTCTCTAATCTGCCGAGGGACTCTTGACAAACTTCATTCAGGTTTTTATGGTCACCTTCTCTTCATATATGCACCATTCAAACTGAAGCTTTCATAGACTGGCATAAAAACAAAATAAACATATGAAGGAAGCAAATTGAGACATACATGTATAGTGGTTCATTACTGCTAGAGTTATCTTTCTTAGCCAAGAGTGAATAAACTAGTCTAAAGAGGTACTGTGAGAAATAAGCTCACTAAATGATACCCCCCACCTCCCATATGAATATAATGACAGTGTCCATGTTTTGATATGGGAAACCCAAAATATGTGTCGGATCAAAAAGTAAAATAGGAGGTGCACAATGGCATTATATAATGAAGATTCTCTGAAAGTTTCATCAAATTTCATTAGTGGTATAAAAGGAGCTGTCCATAAGAGATGGGTACCCCAAAGCGTAACAGATGGACATACAGACAGACGGATGGACATCCCGATTACTAAATATCCTATTCCTGCTTTTCAAGCAGGGGGTATAATAATGGAATATTGGTAAATTCACTGTAAATCCTCAGTCATTATAAGTTACTACATGTATTCATAAAAGTTTTTTTAACTCTTTTTTAAAGTGACATATACGCTATATGAACGCCGAATTTTGTGTGAAACAAAATGATTAATGATTTAAAACACATGAAGTGTAATGAAAAATAATACTTTCCACAAAAGTGTACTATAGATGTCGTTGTAATAACAAAACAATTAAACATATCTGGGAATTAAGAATTCAGTCTTTTCATGAATATTGATGAAGGAAGTGCGTAAACAGTAGGTCTATATATAGAAACACATGTCCACGGGAAATCACAGACAACGAGGTATGTTGCATTTTGACAACAATTATGAATATAAGATCTATATGCGTCATAACAGAAAAGATGATTGATACTGAATACATTAAAAGATAAGTACCATTAAGAGAAAGACGCTTGTCATCCACGTCAAAAGTGAGTAGTATCTCAAACGGCCTACCTTGTTTTCTTTACGCCATGTGTGTTTATCAATCTAAAAGTAGCGACGGCGTCACGTGATGGATTTATTTAAAAATAGCTATTTTTCTTTCCTTGCAGGATAATAAATAATTATAATTTGATAACTTCATAACGCGTTTAATTTTAATGGTGTAATTTACAGTATTTTCGTAACTTTTATTGATAAACAAATGATATCAATTTCCAATCGTATTTTAACTGGCGCAAGTTATAGCGTGTATACTTTTAAAGTTGAAATACTAAATCAGCATAAAATTTCTGAAAATTTCTAAATTGATCGAAGTCTAGCTGATATATTGGAGGAAAGGGGAATAATTAAGATTGACCAAATCAATCTCAGAAAATGCAGGGCAAAAATGGTCTCTAGTTCAAAGAATCTGTATGTATACATTTCTTTTTCCTGCAATCATTGCTTACATTGACCAACTAAAGATCTAAACTAATAGAGTATAGACCAAATCTAATCATATCTGATTAATGCCAAAATAGAGCCTTTTTCATTGAAATGTCCCAAAATGCACTGGATTTGCCATCACCTGTATGTATTGCATTGTTTATAGAAAGGCACCAGAGTTTCTGGCGGGTGTCAGCTGCTGAAATATGCATTTGTCGAAAGCAGCTTTTTGGAAGTCAGTGCAAAACTTTGTTGCAGGATAAACAAGAAACATGAAAATTGTCTTGAAATATAAGTCATAGTTGGGCTCAAGTCAAAAATGTGATTGCCCTAATCTAAAAATGCTTATATTTTAATATATAATTAGAAATATATCTATTGGACATGATCAACTGCCCTGCTGATGGTTATAATTAGTATAGTCCTGCATTATTTTTGACTAGAGGTACTCTGAGCAACAAGTTCACTAAATGATATCCCCCGCTTCCCATATGATTTACGAGGTCACTAAATGATACCCCCTGCTTCCCATATGATTTACGAGCTCACTAAATGATACACCCTGCTTCCCATATGATTTACGAGGTCACTAAATGATACCCCCCACTTCCCATATGATTTACGAGCTCACTAAATGATATCCCCCGCTTCCCATATGGTTATAATGACAAAGTCCCTGTTTTGCTCTTGGAGACACGAAATAAGTGTCAGATCAAAAAGTAAAATAGAAGGTGCACAATGGCATTATGTACCGGTAATAAAGATTCACTGAAAGTATCCATTAAATTTTATTCAGTGGTATAGAGGGGTTGTGGATAAGAGATGGGTACCCTTCAAAATTAAAGAAGAAATGGCAGTGTCAATGTTTTTGCTCGGGAAAACCCAAAATATGTGTCCGATCAAGAAGTAAAATAGGAGGAGCACAATGGCATTATATAACAAAGAAATTCTCATTAAATTCCATTCAGTGGTAAAAGAGGAGTTGCGGATAAGAGATAGGTACCCCAAAGCGTAACAGACGGACGTACAGACAGACGGCTGGGCATCCCAATTACTATATACCCTCCCACTTTTCAAGCCGGGGTATAAATATTAATTGACGGACGGACATCCCAGTTACTATATACTCTCCCACTTTTCAAGCGGGGGTATAAATATTAATATTAGTGCATGAAAATTTACTCAGTTTTAGTGGTAGTACATGTACTTCCTGTGCAGCTAATTTTTTGCAAATTGCCATAAAAAACAACCCCCAAACACCTGTCACTTCCCCACAAGCTGTTGTAATGTATCATATTTATATATTTATAATATCCAAAGCACACATATACATGCAGATACATCCTCCTAAACCAGTATCAAGTTCATCTTTTACTGGATTTATAAGGATGATATAACTTTTCCTTCCTTGCATTCCTTGAAATAGAAAGATGCAGGGAAATGGAGCGACCATCTTTTCTTAAAAACATAACTTCTGCTGTTGAAAATGTTCAAGAAAGGTCCCCCTAACATACTTTTAGTTGCGAGGTTATCATTTGGTAGTGTACTAATAACAAGAGGCCCATGGGCCTTATAGGTCACCTGAGTATCATGTAACAACTTTCCAACAATTAGAATTGCCTCTTGTTTTAAACCAAAGGCCATGAAATTCACAATTTTGAAGGAGGCACCATTGCTTATCATAACTATACACTTAGCTTGCTTACTTTGGTAACTTAATACCCTGAGGTAGATCAGAGTAACAGAGAAAATGCATTTCCACTTTATAACAGTTGTGCACCCCATCCCAAAGGAACCAATGACCCTGGGGCCACACATTTCAAAATTTGGAAATTCTATCATGAATTTTATTTCATGATAAATGGTTGATTACTACTGAAGAGCAGATTTCAAAGCATTATTTTCATGGCGTC